ACCTATCTAGTCTATAAGACATATACACAATATGTTTGACACACCCCCTAGGCTAGACGAGGGGTAGTGTCTGGCAAGAGACACACAGCTCCGTGGCACTACTAGTCCAACATCTGAGGTAGGGGTCCGAAGACCAGTCAGCAAGAGTACAAACTAAACAAGAGAGAGCCAGGGCGGTACTACTAGTCCAGCCACTGGGACAAGAGCCACAAGGCCAGTCAAGATAATATAAAAGTAGTACACAATCAAGGTCCTATCAAGTGAGAAGCAACAGGAACTAGACCAAGCTGCACACAGTGACGCTGACGATCTTTAGTCGCAAGCGCATTCGTAAAGATATCAGCTGTGTTGGCATTGGAGGCCAAGTGTACTACGCGGGCTTGGCGGCGCTGCTGTAGCTCGCGCAGGAGGAAGTACCGCAGCTGGATGTGCTTCGCTCTGCCCTCGAGTCGAGGTTCCTGACGCAGGAGGATCATGGCCCTGTTGTCAGCGTACAAGACCGGGGCAGAGCTAGGCCGCTCTCCTAAGTCTGTGAGTAGGAAAGTTAGCAAGCGGAGCTCCTGTGCCACCATGGCACCAGCGTAGATCTCAGCCTCGCAGCTAGACTGGGCAACAGACGAGGAGCGAGTGGACCTCCACGAGATGGCGCCTGCATCAAGGCTAAAGCAATAGCCTTGGGAGGACCTAAGCGTCTCAGTGTTGTCTGCCCAAGAAGTGTCTGTGTGCCCTGTAAGGACCACTGCCCTGCGTCCTCCCAGCACTAGCCCCATGCCCGATGTACTTGCTAGATAAAGCAAAACCCTCTTAGCGGCCACTGCTTTGGTCGGTGTCTGCCTGTGGCCACAAAGCGAGCTAGGATGCTGAGAGAGTATGCAAGATCTGGACAAGTACAAGTCATTTGGTACATGAGGCAACGCACCAGCTCTGCGTACGGACCACTAGGCTCTACTGACTCCTCAAGGACTGGAGCTGAGAGCATGTGATCCATTGGCAGAGGTGTGGGTTGTGCGGAGGAGAACTGAAGACTGAACCTCTGAAGGACGTGGCGCACTAAGTGTGATTGCGTGAGAGTGATGGTGCGCGCTGCTCTGTCCCTGGAGATTTGCAGGCCAAGGTAGCGGCACAACTCTCCTATGTCAGTGCAGATGTGTCTCCTCAGCACCTCGGCCTTCACGAAGGACAGTGCGTCTCTGCCTGCAGTAGCAAAGACCAGGTCGTCTACGTAGACAAGGAAGTAGAACAGGGTCTGGCCAACAAGAACGAAGAGGGAGGGGTCTGCAGACGACGAGAAGAACTGCAGGTCAGCTAACGTAGCACGCAACATGTTGTGCCACTCGCGCGGCGCCTGCCGCAGGTCGTAACCCGGGCGCCAGAGGAGCCACTGGGTCCCCGGGGCGAAGGTGCCAGTGAAGCCTGGCTGGCAATGCAGGTAGACCTGCTCGTACAGACTGTCCTGAAGAAGCGCTGTGGAGAAGTCGGGAGAGTGCAGCTCGTAGCCACGCTGTGCTGCTACGTGTAACAGCGCCCAAAGAGTAGTCATCTTTGGGTTGGGGCGAAGGTCTGAAAGAAGTCAACACCCTCGCACTGACTGAAGCCTCTAGCAATGTAGCGCGCCTTGAACACCGGCGACTCTCTAGGTGGGCGCAGCATAGGGAGGCCGTGGTGGACTCGCGCAGTTACAACCCACGAGATAAGAGCGTCTGGCACATCGGCCTTCCACTCCAAGGGAAACACCGTAGTGTAGCACATATAGTCGTCGAGAAGCACTAGGAAGTAGCGCTCTCGACGCGGCCCACGAACGAGGGCTGGGTCCCAAACGTCCAGATGCAGGGTCTGGAGTGGCGCAGTGGTAGGGAGAAGCGAGGAGGAATGCGGAGCACGGCGCAGCCGGCCCTCAACGCAAGGCGTGCACGGCGGCGCAGGTGAGGGAGGAAGGGCAGGGAGCGACACAGGGAGACCGAAGACAAGACCGTGATGGGACATGTGACACAGACGCGGGAGTGCGGGGTGACCTAGGCGGTGGTGCCACAAAAGCAACGGGAGAGTGAGCGACTGACACGAGCAAGCCGCAGCGACCTGTGTCGCCACAGGCCCCTGGGGGGACGCCCCTACCGAAGGGGAAGCATCGTCAAGCGTAAACAGGCCAGACATAGGGTCCCGGGGGAAAGTGGTCAGAGGGTCACCAGTGGCGGCCTCGGTACAGACTGCATACCGTTCGTGTCCGGGGAACGTAGTGGTGACGTCGAGGTCTTGAAGACAGCCGACACCAACTAGGTTCTTGGAGGACGAGGGGATGTGCATATCTGTAAGAGAGCCCGAGGAAACCGTCGGACAGGGAAGGGTAGTGGAACTACGGGCAACTACCGGACCTGAGGAGGGGTCAGCAAGCGCTATAGCGGCGGGGGCAGCAAGCGGCGTGAGCGCAGTATGGTCACAAAGGAAGTAGGCGGACGTGCCAGAATCGAGAGTAAAGGGTAGCGAGGCAGTAGCGTCAGCCGGCGGAGAGGCTAGCGTGGAACCTAGGCTAAACAAGACAGGGGGTCCTACGCTTGACGCAACAGGGGAGCCTAGACTATACGCAAGGGACACACCTACTCTAGGCAACACCGGATAATAGGGTCCAATCACACTAGAGTCATCAGCATACACGATAGAGATAGCAGTCCTAATCTGATCCATGTCAAGCTCAAGACAGGCACACGACGGCGAGCTAGGGTGTACTAGTCGGGAGGTTTCGACGTAGGACCGAAGCGGTGACGAAAGAGGTCTTCCAGGCGGCGGTAGCAACGGGCGGCGGTATGGCCGGAACGGTCGCAGACGGTGCTGCGGGAGGGGCCGGTCTGAAGCTGGTACTGACAGGTTACCGCACTGGAGTCGCCACCCGACACCCAGCTACGCCCCCCACCACCACGACCACTGCCACCAGTGCCGCAAGTCCACCACGGTGGCGGGGGTCCCCATGGCGACTGCTGCTGCGGCCGCTGCTGTTGCTGGTGCTGAGTCTGCTGCTCCGGGGCACCAGCCCCGGTCCCCTCGTTCGAACCACGATCCCCGCCCCCACCTCCTCCACCCTTCCCACCCCCACCCCTCTTCCCTCCGCCACGCCCCCCCTTGGGGCGGCGTCCCCTACCTGGACACGACTGCGCTGAGGCCGCGGCGTCGGTCTTAGCAACAGCGGCAGAGACGTCAGAGTAAGAGCACTAGGAGGGAGCACAACCCGGAAAGATAGGGACCGGCGCTGTACAGCTAGACTGAGTGATAGTGCGCTGGCGGGTCTCTATCGCAGAGAGGGCGGTGACAAAGGCGGAGAGGGTGAGGTCACCCGGGTGCTGCCTAAGAAAGTGGTCGTGGGCAGTGGCTAGACGGTCGGGGAGGCGCGTGGCAATGAGGTAAAGGGTAGCGCAGAGCGGCGACGGAAAGGCAGTGAGCTGAGCCTCAGTGCTAGCGGTACAATAGCTACTCTCAAGTGCGCAGAGTTGAGTGGCAAGATCGGCGACAATGGGGAAGGACGCAAGTTCAGGGAACAGCATGGGAAGGATCAGGCGGCCAGTACAGGCTGATGCGGGGGTGGAATAGAGCGCGATGACCTCATCTAAGAATTCCTTGGCGTTCGCTACAGTGGTAAAGCGGGGACGCTCAGACAGGGGAGGTGCGTGACTAATAGCAAGTTGCGCAACAGCGTCGCGCGATTCCCAGACAACGCGAGCAAGCACAGCAGCAGAAAATGCCTCACGCTCAGCAGTGGTAGGGCAGTCAGGGAGGGCAACAGGCGCAGCGGGGCGGGCAAGCAGGCCATCGACATGAACAGCCAGAGAGTGACCGTCCTGGTGCTGACATGTAAGGTGACGGCGAAGGTCGACGAGCCACGCCTCGAAGTCGATCGCTCGCCCCTCCTGGTCCAGGTGGAGCACAGCGCCCGCCATCCCACAAGTTCAGCTACACGGCGGCACGGTGACACAACGACACGGCAGAACGGCGGCACTGCGGCACAACGGCACGGCACCACGGCGGCGCAGCTCCATGGCACCACGGCGGTACGGCACGGCGACACGGCGGTACTGCAGCACGGCGGCACCGCGGCACGGCGGCTCTACACTGCGGCACGGGCCAGCGGGCGCGGGGCCAGTGGGTGCGGAGTTGGCGAGCGCAGGGGCCAGAGGACAGAGGCTGGCGAAGTCGGGGCCAGCAGGCGCGGGGCGAGTGGGTGCAGGGCCGACAGGCGCGGGGCCAGCAATCGCGGGCTGGCAAGCGCGGGGCTGACGGGCACGGGGCTGGTGGGCGCGGAGCTGGCGAATGCGGGGCCAGCGGGCGCGGGGCTGGCGGGCACGGCGCTGGCGGGCACGGGACTGGCAAGCACAGGGCTGGCGAAAGCGGGGCCAGCGAGCGCGGGCGAGCGGGTGCGGGGCCAGCAGGCACGGGGTCAGCGAGCGCGGGGCCGACGGGAACGGGGCTGGCGGGTGCGGGGCTGGCGAACGCGGGGCCAGCGGGCGCGTGGCTGGCGGGTACAGTGCAAGCGGGTGCGGGGCCAGCGAGCGCGGGCGAGCGGGTGCGGGGCCAGCAGGCACGGAGCCAGCGGGCGCGGGGCTGGCGAGCGCGGGGCCGACGGGCGCTAGGCTGGCGGGCGCGGGGCTAGCAAGCGTGGGGCCAGCAGGCACGGGGCTGGCGAGCTCGGTGCCAGCAGGTGCGGGGCTGGCGAATGCGGGGCTAGAGGCGCGGGGCCTGCGAACTTGGGGCCAGCGGGCGCGGAGCTACGGGCGGCTAGCTACGGGCGGCTCAAAACGGGCAGCTAGCGACGGGAAGCTAGGTATTGGCGGCTAGGAGCGGGCGGCTAGGACTAGGTCTACGGCGGAAACGCGAATGGGCGGGGGGGACCTAACCTAGCATGATACCATATCAAAGCTAGAATCAATGAATAGAAAGAGGCAAACAAGGTGGTTTCGTTGAAGGGGTTGCACCCTCTAAGAGTCAAACCTATCAAACCTATAAGACATTTACACACTATGTTTGAAACACATATATGCATCCACCTAGGAATATGAAAGCTCAGCTGCGTGCAAGGGACAGAACAAAATCGACGCTTGACGCATTGAACATGAAAAGCTCAGCATCAGCCTTCTAAATCAAACAGTATTGCACACATCTGTCTCGGACCACCTACACTACCCACCTACTACTCCTATGACAGCCTAAAATCAAGGAAAAACGTTGGGATTTCCAGCTGGCAGGCCACTGGGATCTGCAGCAGACCCACCAGCAGCACCACCAACAGGAGCCGCAGACCCACTACCAGCGCCTTCCTTCACAGGTGTGAGTGTTGCCGGAACCTCCTTGACTGGAGGCGTGTGCACAGCGGGAGCAGTGGGGAGATCCGCACCAGGTGTCTGGTATTTTCCCTGGCCCTTGTAAAACAGAGGCGGGGCTGGAGCCGTGTGCTTCTTGACAGGGCGGGGAGGGGGAGGGCTCGGGGGAGGGGGTGACGGGGGCGGAGGGTTGACATAGGGCGGGGGAGGGCTGGGGCCGTTACGCTTGGGGGGGAACTTGGGGGCCTTGGGGGGAGGGGTCCTCCAGGGGGGAGGGGAGACAGGCGGCTTGGGAGGCGAGGGGTAGGGCTTGGGAATAAGCTCCTCAAGTGACTCGGCGTACTTCTTGGCCCATGGGATCTGCGCCCACATGCGCGTAAGCGAGTTGCCGGGGCTGTTGCCGCTGCGGAAGGCGCCCAGACTGGCGAGTAGCCCGGCAAAGACAGCGTTGACATAGAGGAGGGGCTCGCTCTGCTGCGGGATTGTGCGGTCGTCCAGGTATGAGTCGTCTCTGCCTGGCCCACCCACTATGGCTCCCACCAACACGTTCGGATTTGGGTACTTGGACCTGACGCACAGGGGAGACAAGGGAAGGGAAGTAGGTGGTGAGGGGTACCGTCATTCCTCATCATTTTTTTGTTTTGTTTTTTCAGCGGATTCAGCACTGACATCCTAGCATGATAATTTTTGACGAACGCCACGTCAGCTTCTGGATTTGAGGTAATAGCGCAACTGCGATCCATGACTCACCTCTTGAACTTCTGGCCCGTGGCGCAGTCGAAGCGAGTGGGGTCGACATGCCGAGACGTGATGGAGGCAGCTCTGTGGTGCACGCGCGTGGGGTAGTTGTCGCCAAAGCCCACCATATAGCTCATCTTCTGGGGGTTGTCGCCCAGGATGTAGTTCACCTGCACAGGTGGGATACGCAATAACGAGGACAAAGGTACCAGTTATGTAAGTTGACTCCCTAAAGCACAGACAGGCTGAAGAAATTTATGTGAGAGCAGGGTCAGGCGGACCATAATTCGAGCAAGAGCCCAACAGAAGGACCACCACGAACCATCAGCAACTATAAGCACCAATCTGCAACAATGGCTTGCAAGTCAGTGTGTCCGCACGCGCTTACCTGGGAGGCGGCGAAGTCGACGATGTCGTCAATGGTGGCGTCGCAGTCGAGGTAGTGCGAGGAGACGTTGGCGTTGATGGCGATGCGCAGGTAGTCGCTCACCAGCACCGACAGGAACCCCGCGTTCACCGCGTACTGGATTGGATGGTCGTCGCTCACGTAGATCAGCCCGCCTGCAGGGATGGTAATGTACAGTAATAGACAATGCGACAAGCAGATGACATTATGGAACGCGATCAGTAATCAGCTTTGTGATTCTGGAACTGGAATTTGTTACATCTCTTGTGATTCTGTTGCGATTTTGAAGCTGAGATCTTCCCGGACGGCTAGTTAGGGAGTGACCGGAGGACGGAAAGACAGAGAGACCTAGGACAGAAATAGAACATACCACTGTCGGTGAAGTTGGCGTGCAGCCAGTGCGGCGTGTGCTGGCACACGTAGAGCTTCGCGGCGTTGAGGTACGTCTGCAGGTACTGCGGGATCTGCGCCTCGTTGCCCGCCCCGTACCCGAGCATCAGCAGCCGCGTCATCAGCACCTGCACGCACGAGACCGAGAGGAGGATCCATGATAAGCGGTCGCTGAGGCGCGTCTAACAATGCCCACCAACGGACGTAGACACAGCAGGCTTGGCATGAACTGTTTCACTAGAGCGATTAGGAGAACGGCAACGGCCTGGACAGACAGCAGACAGCAGACAGCAGTAGCAGCAAGCAGTAGGCGTACTGACCACCCGGTTTTAAGATAGAGCTTTCGTGTACCTGCACGCCGGGTGCTTTGTTGTCCCAGTCGAATGTCTTGGTGCCCGGACCCCACTGGTTCGTCTCGAAGATGTACGAGTTGGGCCCGATCACATAGTCCAGGTACTTTTCATCTCCCGACGCGAAGTACAGCCACGTGGCGCCCCACATGAGCTCGTCGCCGTACCCGGTAGAGTTGTACTCCATTTGAGCTGCTTCCACCCAGTCACTGTACTTCCCGCGATACTGATCCGCATATTCGAAAATCTCCGCCGCACTCTGCAAAAGTTCGTCCGCGTACGAGGGGTTGCCCACGCGGAAAGTGAGCGAAGCGGCAGCGAGCGCGGCGGCGTACTCGCCCGCGAGGTCGGAGCAGGGGTGCGCGATGTCACAGGGGAACATGGTGGGGCGCTGAGCGGGCTTCATGTCCTCGGGCCGGATCCAGCACACTTCGTCAATCTCCGGCGTGCCCACCTGGAAAACACCGACAAATGCCGAGGGTTTTGTTACAATGACTTGCCTTTTTCTTTTCTCATTAAAGCTCAAACTTTTTCCGATACAACGTGCCACAGTTACCTGAGCGAGGCGGATAAAGAGACGTTACCTGAGCGAAGATGAGATCCTGGTATCTTGTACGTTGGATGTACTGTACTCCCCAGTCTATAAGCTCCGCCATTTCGTTGTGCATGTTCACGAGCCGGAACACGGATTCGTATTCCAGCAGCGCCCAGCAAAGCATGGTCACGGTGTACGCCATCGGGAAATGGTACTTGATGTTGCTCCCGCCGATGTAGTACCCGCCGCGGAGGTCCCGGTTCTGGTCCCGACCGTCCTGCAACCCCGAGTCGTTTCGCCACGTGACGGGATAGCCCGGGGGGAGCTTGCCCGCTGCAGGTGGAAGGGCGCACGAGGGGAACAACGAAACGGATGAGGTCAGGGGATGGAAAGAGACAACCGGAGAACGGCTGTCTTATATGTATGAATGTGTAAGCCCTAATAGAGGCATAGAGGTTGAGCAAGCGCGCCAGCCAGCGAAGGTGGACGGCCAAGCGCGTGGGCTCGAACCGAGTGTGGTTCCAGGTGTGTATTTAACGACGTACATTTCTGCGATTCGAGGAAGAGCAGCGCCATCTGGATCTTCGACGTGATCGTGATGTTCACGGGGGGAGGCGGAAGCGGCGCAGGCGGCGGCGGCGGCTCCATGCCCTGCATCTGCGCGAGCTTGACGCCGAGGAACACGGAGACGACGAGGATAGCGACACTGCCGATCATCGCCACCACCAGCACTGCTGCAGACGACTTGCCCCTGGGGGGAGGAAACGACGGGGGAGGGGGGAAGGGGGCGGGGAGGGGGAAAAGGAGGGAACGGGAGGGGTTAGCGACGCATACGACAGGAATGGGCGGAGGAGGGTGGTTAGCTAGGGACTAGTTTAAAACCTTGGATACGTGCCAGGAGATCCGAGAAAAGACAGGGAAAGGCATATTAGACGTTGAGAGTGCTATTTTTGTAGTGACCACTTGCGGCACCGAAACCACAAGGAATATCAGTCCAAGATGAGCCGTGTAGGGACGTCGTTGCATGGCCCGACAAGCACCAGGACACAAAGGCTGATGGGTCACATCGTTCTAGTGCTCAGATCCGCCTGTGCTTCATGCGAGTTTATATTTTTGCAAAACGAGAACGTTATTTCTGGATGAGCTTGACCGATAATACCGCCGACACGGAGGGTTGGGGACTGCCAGAGCTTACTGTCAGAGCCATTGCCGACGCAACACGAGACAACGAGGAAGAACAATGCAGTAGGCTACTGTTGGCTGTCGAGTGCGCGAGGAGATCCCTTACCCCTTGGTGGAGTCGAGCGGCACATATTGCCGATGCATCCCCATTTCGGCTGATGGACTCGAGCGACTCGGTAGTCAGTCCGAAAGCGTTGCTGGCGTCAGCTCGAAGCTCGTGACGTTTGCAGTTTAAGCGGTGACTAACGTGTGGGCCAACCACACGATTTCTGAAGACTCCCGCACAAACACCCCGAGCCTAGATCCTTGGGCTATCGTCAGCGCCTATACCCGAGGAACCATGGTGGGGGTTCCTGCGAGTGAGATAGACTGCAGGACTGCTTAGTCCCTTGTGTCCTGATCCTGCTTTGGAGAATATCACGATTCACAACTGCTGAACTCTCGAGGTGAGGTGGCTTGGGCGCTAATGAGGGGATTGGAGGGGGGAGCCTTGCTGCCCATTTGCCCCAGGGCGATCTCGAATCTAGATATGGGTGGAGGGGGGGGGAACGAGGGAGCGACACATACGTCAGATTCTTTCTGACAGCCCCCGATTTTAGCACTGATGGACGAATGAGAATGCGCCAGGGTGATGGCGTGGCACGGCAGGGAGATATTGGGCTGGGCCCAGCTACTGTTTTGCCAAGGGTTCTAATTATGCTTTTCCTCACAGCAGAGAGGAAACTCGATCCCCGCAACTTCGGCAATTTCTGCATAAACTGGCTGCCGGAATCTGAAACCTCGCTCTCACACTGTCGAGGTTTGGTTTTGAGAGAACACGCCCTGGCATTAAAGTTTCCTGGGGGCTCCGTCGCGGAAGCATGTCAGAGACTCCTCGAGACGAGACTGGTGGTGCCATCAAATCGACACGGTCAAGCGGCCCCACCTCTCTACCCATCCCGCCCACCCACGTCGCATGCAGGGCACAGGTCGCCGATGCGGTCCGCGACGTCCTTCGATAGAATCACAATTGGACGAAGCTGAACCACCAGCTGTTCCCCCCTTTGGTCAAGCAGCCTGAAGGTTGTAACGGAGATGCAAAGCTGCTCTGGATGCAAATGATTACAATATTACACGACTTCATAATAATTGAATATCATATGTGTTCTCGTTTTGAAAAGGAGGATTTCTTTCAAAAGTTTGCACGTAAGGCATCTGCTACACTATTAGAACTTTCAACCAGCGACGATGCAATCCATTCGTCGTACTTCAGCGAAGATGTCGTGTTTGCAGGTCCAGATCAAAGTGTTCCGTGCAGATCTCTAGGGAATCGCCCTTACTAAGTTTCCAGGATTTCTTGTCTTAGCTACGTCGACTTCGCGACCCCCGACATGCTGACAGCACAGTAAGCAGCCTCGCTGCCCCGTGACAACTCCTCGCGTGTCTTGCCCCGCTAGGGACCCCTCGCGTGGCGGCGGTTCGTCGAGTGGCTTTCGTTCGGAGTGTTGTCGACGTCTCAGCCCCAGACCCGTCCAATAAGGGGTGATCCGCGATCCCTATCCTCCCTCCACGCGCTGCCACCTCTTCGCAAAGCGCGGCCGATTCTTCGCCACGCGTGGCGACTAGTTTCCCGCCACACTCCTTCTTCTCCATCTCGCCCTCGCTTTCCGCCACTCTTGCCAATCACCACGTCACCATGCTTCCCACCATGGGTCGTGTCAGCCGGCCCGGGCCGGTTCGGCAGCAGTCCAGCCTGCCGCAATACCTGCGACGAATCGTTAAGGTACCCGCCCCTGGCTCGCCACTACCTGGCTGACACTGGCTGTCCCCGTTACTGGCTGTCTCCCTTGTGCTGTGGCACAATTGCGAATTTTTAATCTGCCATGGTTTCCAAGGGAGTCGTGACAGGGAACAGTTAACGGGAATTTAAGGGAGAACGCATGTGTTGGGGGAGTGTGCGAGAGGTTGCAGAGTGGAGGGAGTTAGGGCGTGCACCCTAGTGTTCCGAGGGAGTTTGAGCTGGGCGGAACAGCTTCCAGAGGAATTGCACTCGTTGCTATTTTTGAGGCGCCTCAAAAATAGGCGCCTAAAAAACAGCTTGCAGGGGAATTCCACTCGTTGCTCCCACTCACCTCCTCCCCTGCCTCCCCTCGGTCGCCACGCCCCCTCGTTGTCCCCGGTTCGCAGTGGCAGCAGATGGACGCGGAGTACTGCTTCTGGCAAATGCTGCACCTCTGCCTCTCGCCGCGCGTCGTGTAAGCCGCACACACGCCCCTCACACGCCAATCACGCGCCCCTCACACGCCCCTCACACTCCCCTCACACGCCCCTCACGCGCCCCTCACGCGCCCCTCACACGCCCCTCACACGCCCCTCACACGCCCTTCCGTTTCGTGCACACGACTTTCTTAACACCAACATTGGCACCAACATTGACACTAACTGTGGCACTGTGTGTCGTTGCTGCTGCATGCCATGCCCTCACCACGGCCCACCCGTCCCATGCACCGCTCTGTCCATACATTCTTTCTTGCTGCCTCTTGTCTCTTCTGCATCTTTCTCCCCCTCCATCCTCTTCCCCTCATCCTCTTCCCCTCATCCTCTTCCCCTCATCCTCTTCCCCTCATCCTCTTCCCCTCATCCTCTTCCCCTCATCCCGTTCCCCTCCATCCTCTTCTCCTTATCGCTTCCCCCTTCCCCCCTTCCCCTTCTCCCGTTCCCCTTCCCATTTATGTACCACCCGCCTTTCATGTCAATGCCAGCTATCAGCACACAAAGTATCACAAACGTAAGTGCACCCTCCTGCCTTCCACCCTCCTGCCCTCCACCCTCCTGCCCTCCACCCTCCTGCCCTCCACCTCCTTCCCTGCACGCCATACTTCACCCCGGGTATCCCACCATGCCAAGTCCGCATCCACCTCTTCCACGGCATGCCGCCCTGTCTCTGCCTCTTCTCCTTGCTCATCTGCCGTCCAATGCCAACATCTCTTCAGCCCCCCTCCCATGCCCCCCTCCCATGACCCCCTCCCATACCCCCCTCCCATGCCCCCCTCCCATGCCCCCCTCCCATGCCCCCCTCCCATACCCCCCTCCCATGCCCCCCTCCCATGCCCCCCTCCCATGCCCCCCTCCCATACCCCCCTCCCATGCCCCCCTCCCATGCCCCCTCCCATGCCCCCCTCCCATGCCCCCCTCCCATACCCCCCTCCCATGCCCCCCTCCCATGTTTTCACCAACTCCTCCTACCCCTGCAAAATCCCGTACATTCCCCAACCTCGTCCCTCACGCCTTAACCCTCCGCTCCCCTCCCCTACCCCTCCCCCTCCTCTCCCTGTGTGCGTGTATCTCTCCCACTGCAACCCCTCTCTCTCTCCTGTCCCTCTGCCGCTGCTTGCTTCCCCCAGAGACGAAGAACCAGTGGGCGCGGGACGATCCGGCGTTTGTGGTCATCTCTGCCATGCTGCTCGCCATCTCCGCCACCTCCTACTGTGTCGCGTACGTGCTCTTGTTGTGCGGTGTGGTGCGGTGCGGTGGTGTGCTGTGCTGTGCTGTGCTGTGCTGTGCTGCGCTGTGATGTGATGTGAATTTCTGTGTCCCATCACCTCTCCCTCCTCACCCCTCTGCACCCCATCCCATCCCCCATCCCGTCCCCCATCCCCTCGACCCTCCCTCTCTTCCTCCATCCATCCATCCGTCCTTCCTTCCCTCCATCCCTCCCGTCCACCGTGCAAAAGAATTCATGCATCCATGCACTTCCCCATCTCGCACTGCATTCATGCCCACATGCCCACATGCCCACATGCCCACATGCACACATGCCCACATGCACGCATGCCCACATGCACGCATGCATGAATCCATGCATGCCCACATGGCAGGTACGGGCACGGCATTGCGCAGGCGGGGCTGACAGTGTTCTCAGTGGTGGTCTTTGACTTCCTCCTCATTGGGGCCGCCATCGCCACTCTCTGCTGGTACTCATGCACTTGCATGCAGGTGTGCATGCATGCAGACATGCGTTCACATGCGCGAAGGCGACACCCTCATGCATTCTGTAATGCCTTTTTTCTTTCTTTCTTATGTGCACTGTTTTTGTTATAATTTTGTGTGCTCTGAGGTTGCCCACAAAATGCCCATGCCTCGGCCCTTTCAGCTTCATCACAGCATGAACCGGTTTTACAACCACTAACATACTCTTTTGGCTACCTACAGGACGGTTGTGATGTGCTGATGTAGGTACAAGTGGTACATGGCACCTCTTGCTCTGATGTATAACATTCAGGACGGTTCCTCTCCTCTCCCCTTATCCCCTTCTCGTCTCCCTTTCCGCGTCCTTTCCCGTCTTTCCCCTTCTCCCCTCCGCCTTTCCCCCACATCCCACCCGCCCATCAGGTTCATCTGCAATCGCTACCTGCGGGACTCTGGGGGCGTGTCGTCGCATGTGGTGGAGCAGAAGGTGGAGTGGTGAGGCCTGGGGGGTTGACTCGTTTCAAGCTCGTGTGCACCATGCATCATGCGTCATGCGTAATGTGCCATACGACCTGCACCATTCATCATGCACTTTGCACTGTGCACCATGTGGAACGCACATTCAAGTCCCACCATCCTGGTCCCCTCAACTCGCACTCAACTCGCATTTTAGCCCATCACATCTAGCACTCCTTGCCCGATGCCACGTGTGTGCATGCCATGCGATCCCATTGCCATCTAACGAAGCCTCTCTCCCTGTCCCATCTTGCATGCCCCATGCCCTCCCATGTGCGTTCAGGCTGTACGCCTTTGACGTGCACTGCAACGCCTACTTCCCCCTCTTTGTCCTTCTCTACGGTAGGCATGCCACTGAGTTAAAGTGCTTCTCAGTAGGTGGGGCTTTTGCTGTTTGAATTGCCGACTCATCTCAACCTCGTCCCACACTTACCATTTCTCACAGCCCCCTCTCCTCCCGATCCCCCCTAATCGAAACCTCACATGTCGTCTTTCTTCCATGCCTCCTCTCTCCCATGCCTTCCCAGTCGTGCAGTACTTCCTCTCGCCGCTCCTCCTAGCCCCGGGCTTCATCCCTCTCCTGCTATCCAACACCCTCTACTTGGTCGCGTTCTCCTACTACCACTATCTCAACTTCCTTGGATATGACGGTAAGTCCTCCTTGCTGCCCCACTTCTCTCTCCTCTTCCTCCTCCTCTTCCTCCTCCGCCTCCTCCTCTTCCTCCTTCGCCTCCTCCTCCTCCTCCTCCTCCTCCTCCTCCTCCTCCTCCTCCTCCTCCTCCTCCTCCCTCCTCCTCCTCCTCCTCCTCCTCCTCCTCCTCTCCTCCTCCTCCTCCTCCTCCTCCTCCTCCTCCTCCTCCTCCTCCTCCTCCTCCTCCTCCTCCTCCTCCTCCTCCTCCTCCTCCTCCTCCTCCTCCCTCCTCCTCCTCCTCCTCCTCCTCCTCCTCCTCCTCCTCCTCCTCCTCCTCCTCCTCCTCCTCCTCCTCCTCCTCCTCCTCCTCCTCCTCCTCCTCCTCCTCTCGTAACGGTATTTCTAACCCCAGAAATCTTTCTGCTCTTCAAGATTTCATGGCAAACCCCTGTTTGCTTCTTCTCGTTCCTTGTTCCCTGATTCCATGCGTGCCTGCATGATGCGCATGCCTGCATGATGCATGCATGCCTGCATGTTGCATGCATGCCTGCATGATGCGCATGCCTGCATGATGCATGCATGCCTGCTTGATGCATGCATGCCTGGCTGACATGTCATTCTGACATGCCTGGCTGACATGCCTGGCTGACATGCCTGGCTGACATGCCTGGCTACATTCCTGGCTGACATGCCATGCTGACATGCCATGCTGTGCCTGCAGTGCTGCCTTTCCTAGACAAGACAACTGTTCTGCTCTACCCCATGCCCTTGCTGCTGCTCCTCTTTCCTATATGTAAGTCCCGTGCTGCTATTAAATTAGCAGCAACAGCAGCTGGTGTCTTGGCTGGCAGTCCACACACTGTGCATTAGTCTCCATGCGAGCAGTCCTGTGCTGCTATGTGTTGCTTGCTTGCTCATCACACACTCCTCATTCACATGTCATGTGCCACCGCCATTGTCATTTTTTAATCTTATCAGCATGCCTGACACATGCATAAGTCAACACACCCGGTGTTCCACGCTCCTTTCTCTTCTTTGAATGCCACTTCTTGCAATGATGGCATGGCATGTCATGTCACGGTGTGCCGCGGCAACTCATGGTGTCGTGCCATGTGGGTGCTCCCAGCCCTTCTGTCGCGCTTCAACCCAACTCAGTTTGCTCTCAGCTACTACTTCGGCTGACCTTGAAACTTGCTTCATGTACCTTCCTGATGCATGCGAGCGAACCATGACGATGTTGTACATTCACAGCTGATCCTTGCATATTTACTCTTGAGGTGTTTACAGCTGTATGTACCTCTTTTGTGGGTGTAGAGAATTCCATTACCCTGGATTGGTGTGTTATTTGTTTTCCCATATGATACATAGAGCAATGTCATCCATGGATAAGTCAGAGTACCAATAAAGCAGCATAGGATTCAAGTCGACGCAGACTACAGAAATGGGGAACTCGAGCTGATCGTACGGTCCATAATAGAAGTTGGCTGAGGCTACGAATAACTGAAGGATCACAATTGCCAAGACGAATCCTTAGTTCTGTACAGGGGCCTGTAACACACTCAAATGGGAACATGCATCATCCATGCATATGCGCACATCCATGCATGCCAACATAAGCATGCGAAGAGAAACATCCGTGTGAGCATGTGTGCAATAAGATACATTGACAGAGATTTTAGAATGCTGGCTTGCAACGCCACGGTTGGGGCATGGGAGAAGTGCAAGAGAAGAGCCGAGAGAGAGAACGCACGTTGTCTTAGGGGGGGGGTGAGGGGTGGAAGAGAGTGAGAAAGTAGAGAGAGGGTAGTGGACAAGCAATGGCAGGCCCAATTCTCCCACACACATGCACCCACCAATCAGCAGAGGGCACGGAGGGTGATGTGCAGGGAGTCGTCAGCGAACCAGTCATAGATCCCCGGCAGGGCAGCATCTACCAGACGCCTGAACACAGAAAGGGCTGATGGCACCTCATGCGGTGCCAGGAATCGAACCACCGTCGCTCCCATCTTGGGCTTGCGGTAATGGCTGGAGCGATTGCCTGGTGATGCAGGTCAGGTGGGGAGAGGAGTAACTTGGAATGCGGCGAGGACTTAGGCGACTGTAGCTGGATGGGTAACAGGATGGGATTGAGTGCAGGGACACAAGTTGACATGCACTTCGCCTCCAAAGACCCCGCTTTCCTCGCCCAAATTATTTGCCACCTCATTCATTTAAACCTTCTCTTTTTCTACCCCTTACTCCTATTTGACCACCACTTCCCCAATCACATCAACCACGAAAATCGCCCTTTCAACTGCCATTCCGATCTCACCATCTTTAGAAGCATGCAGCCAGTACTTGGCAAGGTTCTTAACACCAAACTCGTCCACCACCCCGCGCACGTACTGCCGCTGCTCAAGCGAAGGGGGCGCGGGGTCTATGGGGTGCTGCAAGGGGATGTGCGTGGCGGAGAGCTGCTTCTCCAGGCAGCAGTTCTCGTAGAGCACCACTGAGAGGGTGTCCACCAGCACAGGCGGGGAGAGAGCCAGCTGAAAGCTCATTGTGCTGCAGTGGGTTGGGACGCAGTGGAAACAGGGAAACTGGGAAGGTTAAGGCACAGTAGGACATGTTACAAGTGTCACATGAGTCTGGCTAGAGTTCTGATCCAGGTCCATAAAGTAGTTTTGCACTATTAGACAAGCCATGTATGCATAGACACATGCAGGTTGAGGGGGCCCAAGTACTCACCTGCAGATGTCCCTGAGGGTGGATAGCTGCTCAGGTGTGAGCCTCTGGTCGTCCCGCAGGCACGCCAGGGTGGTCTTTGGCCAGCGCGAGCCAGGATTCTCTGGCACCATGGATGACAGAGTTGCTCCCATGCGATCCTTCAGCTGCAACGGGGCAGGGGAGAGATGGAAAATGAGAATGAGCACCATGATAGAAGTTGCAGAACTCAGAATATTTTGGTACGATGGGATGTACAAAATCCTTTCGTTCCTGAAACGGTCGAATGTCCAGCCGATTGTGACCCCTACCTCACACAGAGCAGGCGGGATCCCTGAGTAAGCCACCGTGAGCACGCCTTGCCAGGCCACAAAGAACTCTGTGGCCTCATACACACAAGCCCTCGTGCTGCTGATCATGGCTGCCAGCTCTCCCCCCACCATGCTAGCCACTGGTAACGGCATCACAGGCTCTTCTGGAAGAGCCGCAATAGGCGAGGACACGTTCCGGCTCGAGGTTGACTCCAACTGGGAACCTCGTGGGGTCAGCTCCTTTGGGCTTGGACCACCGTTGCCACTTCTTTGTGGAGCTGACTTGCCTCGTGCAATAGTGCTATGCGAATCCTCCAATGGCGACTTTCCCGTGTCACTCGTTCGCTGGTTGCTACCTGAACCACTGCCTCGTTTGACAGAACTTGCTGCGGCAACCTCTGTGCTTGAACTGCTCGACAGCTGATGGTCATTAGCAACTGATGGCCCTTGATGTTTGGATTGGCTGGTATTTTTCTCGTCCTGCCGATTAACGCCTGTATTGGTGTTATCCGCCTCCCCTCTTGCAACTGGGAACACTGGAAGACTTCTCCTCTTAGTGGGGCTGGCTGGACCTTTAGCGCGGTCTGTCGTGCTGCTGATCTTAGGGCTCGTCTTTGTATGACCCTCCTCAGTGCCCCTGTTCCCACCACTACTTCCGCCGCTCTCAACCTTGCTGCTCCCATTGGTAGTGACGGCACTGCCTCGCGCACCAGAGGAAACAGCGGGATCCGCGTCCTGCGTCGTGTCAGCTGCAATTTTAGGCGATCCAACCAACGTTTCACTATTTGCGGTGTCCGTCGTTCCCGTAACACCCTCTACGCCGGATACTACGCCGCCTGCCCCACTTTTTTTCACGGCTACCGTGCTGGAAGGCTTTACGTCTGCATCTTCCTTCCGAGATTCGCCTCCAGGTGTTGGGTGCTCGCCATCGCTCGAAGGCAATATATTTGATTGCTCTGGCAGCAGATTTTTTACGTGCGACTGGAATTGCGCTTCAAGTGTTGGCGTTTCTGACGGCACTAGGGTCTTCGACGTTTGTGCCTTAGCTACGGGGGAGGCCATGATTGGAGAACTGGTCTTTTGACTCGGACTTGACACGGTATCTACGCGGGCCGTAGAAGCTGGCGATGGTAGCTTGCGACTGCTCGTTGGAGATGCCAATGAGGAGCGAGATTCTTCTCGAGGCGAAAGTTGCTGCACGAGATTGGAGAGCCACTCGGCCATGCTAAGACGGTTAGATCTAAGGTCTTCGGTCAAATGTCTGCTTCACATACCATGTGGGAAGGGGAGGTGACCTCACACATCAAACTCGAATCGCTGAAGCAACGGTTATTAGGGATGAAGAAAGCCAAACGACACACCAAGTAGTAATAGGGTAACAATCAGATTTGGTACGGTACATTGATTAACTCATTAGCTAGCTCATGGCTACCCTCTATTGTACAGCACTAAATAAACTGACTCGGAATAGACTTTTCTACACCTACGGAAGAACGCCTGTATGTTGGCGATAAAGAATCCACTGAGTTGATGCTCCTTACACCTCCCTCTGTTGTCACTGCAATTGTAGCAGGTTCATGTTCCCCGCTAATGCTTGAAAGTGGTATTTCGGGTGCGTCATCATGGAAAACACGCGAATTGTGTGGAAGGTTCCATCTCTGCAACAGCCAACACACTTCAGCATGGAGTGTTTAACAGGGACAGATCAGCATCAGCTGCAAGGCTCACCTGGCGTGCGAGAATTGGCGTCAATAAGACAGTAGAGCATATGAGCACGGCCCACCAAATCCACCAGAACCTCAGAGTCAAGGTCACGCCAACGGTCACAATCAGAAGCACAATCTGCCATAGGCACCAAACGTTTGCTTTCATCAACAGCGGTCAACAATCGGATGCCTTTGCATGGATGGGAGTGGGCTCACCTGCAGAGGCCCTCCAAACGCAATGTAATCAACAAACTTGTAACCTCCAGGATTATACACCATAATGTTCGTGGCGCAACCAGTGGGAGTCATAAGGCCCGCGGAAGAAGCCATCATCAGGATGTAGGCGAATGGCCTGAAATCCAGACCCTGCTGCTGTGCAGCCGCAAGTGCAACAGGGAACATGATCGTCACTGCCGCATTGTTTGTAATAGCTAGAGAGAAAACCGTTGTTGCCACATAGGTGCAGGTTAGCAGGCCAATCTGCCAGCCACTGGTGAATTAGATAGAGACAAAAAGACTGCTTGGAAGTGCCTGCACAAAATCATACCTGTGTTCCACCAGATAAGCCCATTAACACCTGGGCAACAAGGTCCGCTGCACCACTCTGAACCAAAGCTTCTGATATCCCAAACGCAGCAGCAATCATGATCAAAACTGGTAGTTCCAGTGAATCCTGTAGTTGTTGAAGCATGTGATTGCAAACGCGGTTGTGAATAAAACCGTGTGATATGGAAACTGTCGGGCTTCTTCAACATACCATCGCATCACGTGACGTCATGCTGCCGGATAACATAAGTGCCGCTGATGTGAATAAGGCAGCAGTTATAAGTGGAACGCTGGGAAACGCGCTTGCAACCACCATGGCCAGCACAAATACTGCTGCTATGCCTGCCTTCTGGCGTTGTACTGGTGTAAAACCAGGAAGCTGCAATAAAAGACATCCTTTAGCCCTCAGCTCAGCCATCTTATAGAAAATTTGTCAAGTTTACCTTAGAAACGAGGGCAAACGTGGAATTGTTCCGGTGTTTGCACACAAACTCGCTCCCGTCAGCTACTAACAACAGAGAGTCTCCAGCCTCCAATACAATATCGCCAATAGCACTGAAACAAAAACTTCATGTCAAATGGAGGAACTTACATGGCATCACATACAAGTCTGGCTTCTCAGGTCATACCTGTTTAGTCGTGTCCCATAGCGATGAACTGCAACAATTGCAGCTTTGTACCTCGTCCTGAGCTGCAAGTCGGCAACTCTCCTGTGCACCATTGGTGACTTACTTGCAACGACAGCCTCCACCAGAAATTGATTCGGTCGGAGTTTGTTAAGGTCTACTAGCTCTTGTCCCTGCATCCGCACAAGTGAGCTTGTAAGTCACTTAAACATGTTTCGTGTGCCCCTCAAAACAACTGTACCTCATCCTCGGACAGCGCTAAACCATCAAGTTGTGTCAAGGAGAGAATAGAGTCGATGACGCCACAGAAGTGAAGTCTGTCTTTTGCCTCAACAATGAAGTCAGAAGGTGGGTCTGCAATCGCAACTCCGTCACGGTCCACATGAAGAAGCTGCAATCCGGGCTGATTTTGAACGCCTGTCTGCTCCACGCTCTTTCGACAAAGGGACGAGGTGGGCTTCACAACCAAAACAACAGTATATTCCCTGAAAGTCAATAAAATTGTTGTTAGGCACAAGGAGAAATATTGCATGCACGAGTGGACATAACCTGGAAAGTACCCAGACGATGGGGAGTGAAAAGTGCATGCCTGGCGTTGATGTTAGTGGCTTGCATTGCAAGCCTGTCGGGTAGTAACTTCCCCGAAAATGCCAGTAGGTACAGTATTCCAGCAATTGTTGTGGGAACTCCAACAATTCCAATCTCAAATATGTTCATGGTCAACTCCGGGAGTTTTTTCGCAGCCATCGAGGTGACCATCAAGTTCGTTGATGCACCAATTAGTGTCAGGGTCCCTCCAAGAAGAGCAGCGTAGCTCAAAGGAATTAGCATCTTCGAAGGCGAAATGTTCACCTGTATGCGGGAACTCCATCGGTTAGTCTGGAAGAACTCTATATTGCCAGGAAAGCAGTGGAAAGCAGTGAATATGTCTGACCTTCTTAGAGAACTCCACAATTGGTGGTATCATCATTGCGACGAGAGGAATATTGGCAAGAAACGCGCTGAAGAGGGCAACTGGCACGGTGAACTTCAAAAGGACCCAGACGATACTGTTTTCGCTGCCTCTGACGAGGAATGACTTCGATTTCTTTCCAGTCTTGGTGCTGAAAAGGAACTTCGAGACATATTCGAGTCCTCCAGACGTCTCAATGCCTGCACGGAAGAACGGAGTTGACTTCGGGTGTTAACAAAACCAAGGAGAACAGAGGTGTCATCTCGTACCTTTCGCTACAATAAAAAGTACTGCTATTGAAAGCATTGCTGGATCTGAAAAGCCGTGAAACGCCTTTTCCACGTCCAAGATTTGCAGTGGAATAAATATTATCAAGATTCCCATCATCACCATGTACGGAGGAGCTACTTCCGCGACCAGAAGCACCAACATTAGCAATATCAGGCTAAGGGTAACCCATCCTTCCCAACCAACATCCGCCATGGTGGCGAGGTTGACTGCACACACAAACGCTGCTGAACTTGTGATGTGAGAGGACAGTCAGTCACTAAAATATTTGAACCAGCCAGTTTGACCTCAGCAGTTGGGCAGGGTAAACCGTGGCGCACGAAGCATGCTCGAAAATGGATGTTCAGTGCCTTGCGGGGCGTTGAATATTTCCTCGCTAAAAGAGGGAACACCCCACCTCGTCACTCAGAAAGCGGTGGCCTCTATTTCGAAAACTGATACGATTCAACACCAGAAAACACACACGAACACATATCTCTTATGCAAATTAATCATCGAAATTCTGACAAAAACACCTCCCATGATCTCAATCGTCGATTTATATGATTTACAAATTCCTTTGCTTGGATTTGTGACAATGCATTTGAATAAAGCCATTACATAAAGTGGTGTCTGGCTGGCTGCAGTGGTGGTTGTAAAAAAATTAAGGAGATTGATGAACAATCTCTTTATGGTCTTATTATCATAAGTGGATTCATTCCGGTCTGGGCATTCCAAGTGCAATCGAATTCTTCCTACAGGGAATATGGGGGAGGATTGTGTTTTACGAAAATAATAATTGCTTTTACCTTATCTCGCCTCCCTTCCATTGTGTCAAATCAAAGCTAATGTAACCAATACATGGTTGGTGGGGTACTAGTATAGAAACGCATATTGATCATGTTGGTTGTCCTTCTCTCAGTGAGTTGTTCTGTAGAGGATCATGAATGGCTGCGGCCTGCCCAGGTTTCGAACCCAGCATCTAGGCTCGGGATTTGTCACTGGACCCCCAGAAAAGCATGTTTTCATGGTTATGTCAATATCTCTCTAGTTTTCTACTGCCCGAGGGGGGTGATCATCACGGATTCGCGTTGGTGCCAGGCTGCGCATCCATGCATTTCACGTCACTGCTCGTCCTCCTTTCCCAAAACAGAAATGACACCAACATCCCAAACCAATATTGGGGTGCCCAAGCCTCTGCTGCCTCCCGCTTCGAGTCGCGTTGCCCAGGCGCCAGAAATCTAGTTCAAACTCGACCATCGATTCTACCATCTCTCATTCCAAACCAACAGCTTCCCGCGCTGAGCGCTGCGACGACATGCGCTGCGTGCTGTCGGGTCCCTCTGTTTCGTATTTGAATTTCGTTCTGGCGGGGCTCACCCAGCCCAGCTACGACAGGCATTGGGTTCGCCGCTTCGCCTCACCTCGAACCAGATCCCCCACAACGCAGAGCAGACCAACAGTACGTCCACCAGCTAACAACCTGAAGATAGGTCGAGCAAGGTCCTGCGTGTGCTGCTGGGGGATGCGCCCGAGCAAACCAGCCAGGCCTCACTTCGGAGCCAACAAATTCTGGGCAGAGCAGACGCGAAAATGGCCCATGCGTCACGCGAATCCGTGGCCAGGCACAGCTGCTGGCGCGAGGCGACCGGGGCGCTGGTGTAAAATTTGGGCTGTCATCAGAAAGCCATCCATCCCGTTGGTTAGCTCATGTTACCTGCATAACCCAAGTGCCCTCAAGGGCGTATCACGCGCTTACGGCCGCCATTGGCTCTCTCCATCAACGATTCGTGTTACCGGTTTCTTGCTCCGGATAGGAACGCAATCTAGTCCAGTCCACCGCTGCTTTATCAGCTAGCACCATCGCGAGTAGCTACCAGAGAATCATCCTCTAGGAACCACTCCCTCTGAATCACTATCCGCTGACCCAGACGAAACGATATAGCAGGCTGTCGGATGCTCGCGCGTCCATCCTCCTGATAAACTTCAAAATTCAGGTCTCTGCATGGCCGCAATTGCGACCAGGGTGCGATCTCTTCCGTTCTTCCAAGAGCTTTCCCTCCACGCCCTTCCGTCCTGCCTCTGATCCTCCTCGTAGCCCTGTCAACGTCTCCCTCTGCCCATTCCACGGCTCCCCGCGCCCTTCTGGGGCGTAATATGTCAGCCTAGAACCGCCCCTTGCAATCCCAACACATTCTCCCGGCTCTCACGCCCTAGAGGAGGTTAACGCCCACCTGACACGCGACATACGAGTTGTATGCCTAATTTTACAGATTTCTCCCTCCCTCCATCTGCGCTCCTTCTCGAGGCCGTTCGATCGTCCGTTCCCGTCCGTTCCCCTCGCCCCATCGCTCCATCCATCCCTTCACGCCTTCGCACCAGCAGCCATGGCGGACGAGAACCAGCAGGTCCACGCCGTCGCTAGGAAAGGTGCGCTTGAATTGCATGGCGGATAGTCTGATATTAGCTCGCCTGTTTTGGCACCGTAAGGAATCCGCTGAGCTAGGTTCAATTGATTCTAATCGAGCTCACCCGTGCCGCCCATGCGGTTCCTTGGAATTCTTCCGTCCATGTCGCGCCCCGATCGCGCGTTCCAATCCCTCGTCACAAAAATGTGGATCTCTCCTATATTGTAGGTATAGTTGTTCGTATAGCAAGTCTACTCCGTAGCAGACGTACCTATGCCGTACCTACTGTATACCTACTCCGTATTTCTGATCCTGGTATTTTGGGAGGCTCGTAGAGCCCCCTTGCCCGTCTCAGTCCGTTCTCCGCTACGTGCTTCCCTCTCCGCCTGTCCCCAGCGCCAGCGCCGATCCCCGCGGCACCTGGCGCGCCAGCGCCCAGCATGCTAGCCGCGGCAGCGGGAGCGCGGTCGTTCTCGAGTCGCCGGGTGCTGGCAGAGGTCGGCAATCTCGTGGAACTCGCTGCCGCCGCCGCCGCCGCCGGGAAAGACGGGTAAGGGGGACGCGGGACGGGAACGGGCAAGCGGGATGGGGAAAGGAATGATCTGTGGTGGGCGAATTGTGTCTCCTAGACGACTTCCTGGTTATCACTCTTCTCCCTTACTGCCTCACTCCTGCTGGACTGATCGCTCTACTTCCTAGTAATCACTCTTCTCCCTTACTACCTTCGCTCGCAATGGACTGATCGCTCCCCAACCGCAGGAAACTCCCGACCGCTGCCGCCGCCGCCTCCGCCGCTGCCACCAACGCCGCTGGCGCGGGGAAGCCCCTGCCCGGGTCACCGGCGCAGCTGGACAAGGGCGCCAAGGAGGCCTGCGCCTCCGCCGCCACGAGCGCCATCGCCGCCACGGTCGATGTCCCCGTGCTTCTCGCCGCCCCTGCCGCCTCCGCCAGCGCCGCGACCGAGCAGACCGCCGCCGCGGCTGGCGCAGAAGGCGCCAGGGGTCCCGGTGGAGCCGCCGCCGGGAGGGCGGGGGCGAGGAACCAGTCCGGCGGGCGGAAGGCGGGCGAGCGGGAACAGCGGGGGCAGCGGGAGAAGGAGGAGGAGAGAGCGCGGATGATGACGATGACGGCGAGTCTGACGGCGTGCAGCGAGGAGGCGTGCGGGGGAGGCGTCGGGGGAGGCATCGGAGGAGACGGCGGAGTGGAGTTGATGGATGCGGAGGTGCCGGCGGTGATGGACATCGACTGGGAGGACCGGGGCAACCCGCTGGCTGCCACGGCGTACGTGCGCGACATCTACGCGCTGTACCGCCGAATGGAGGTGAGATGCGGATATGTTTGAGGCACACCTCACATATGGAGATGAGGCACACTAAGTGCTGCACCGCCGCATGGAGTTGAGGCAGGCGTGCTACGAGTACCCAGTAGTGATCTTGGCGCCGAGAACCGTAGACTGCATTCGACGCCTACCCATCGCCTTGCTCTAAACTTGCCCTCACCTTTTTCCTCAACCCGGTCCTGAGACAAACTGTCCAACCCCCCTCCCATCGCCCTGGCAGAGGGAGAGCATGGCGGCGGAGAGCTACATGAACCAGCAGGCGGACATCAACGACAAGATGCGCGCCATCCTGCTGGACTGGCTCATCGAGGTGCACCTCAAGTTCAAGCTCATGCCCGAGACGCTCTTCCTCACCGCCAACCTTATCGACCGCTACCTCTCCCTCGCGCCCGTGCGCCGGCGCAACCTGCAGCTCGTGGGGGTGACCGCCATGCTCATCGCGTCCAAGTACGAGGAGATCTGGGCGCCCGAGGTGCGCGACTTTGTCTACATATCGGACAATGCTTATAGCAAGGAAGAGGTGATTTCGCTAGAAAAGGACATGCTGAATGCTCTGAGGTTTCACCTCACCGTCCCCACGCCGTATGTCTTTGCCTCGCGGTTTCTGAAGGCGGCAGCAGCGGCAACGGCGGCGGCGGCGGCAGCGGGAGGAGCGGCGATGGGTGCTGGAGGGGAGAGGGGAGGGGAGAAGGGAGGGGAGAGGGGAGGGGAGAAGGCGACGCAGAGCCTGGCGTGGTTTCTGCTGGAGCTGTGTCTGCCGGAGTACAGCATGCTGAGGTTCCCTCCCTCGCACCTGGCGGCCGCTGCTGTGTACACCACTATGCTCGCCCGGTCGCAGCATCTCATGTCCCAGCAGGGCCTTCTCAGTGGGGGCTCTGCTGCTGGTGGTGCTGCTACTGGATCTGCTGTTCCTGTTGCAGGTACCAGCAGCGGCTTCGGCCCAGAGAGTGGGGCAAGCACAAGTAGCTGCGACAAGCGGCAATGTAGCACTGTGCTCCCAGTCTCTATCCCCGTTGCTGTCCTAGACAGCCAGTCTCTGGCCACCACTGCTGCCGCTAGTGTCGCCAGCGTCAGCCTGAGCACGAGTATCAGCAGCAGCAGCAGCGGTGGCAGCAGCGGTGGCAGCAGCAGTGGCAGCAGCAGTGGCAGGAGCAGACCATTCTGGTGCCCTGTGATGGTCCGGCACACTGGGTACACAGAGGCGGAGCTGCAGCCGTGTGTGAGGATGATGGCTGCGCTGCAGCACAAGGCAGGCACGGGGAACCTAACTGCCGTGTACAAGAAGTACAGCAGCCCCAAGTTCGGAGAAGTTGCCAAGCTGCCCCATGTCAGCTTACCAGCGGCCACACCAGTGCTTGGGCAATAAGGTTGGGGACTACTTCCCACAATGTAGCGCTTTGGAGAAATCTGTATGAGGCTTAGGGCATGGTGGAAATGGTCCGCAAGTGTCGTGGAAGGCTTGGAAATCAGCAAGGGGATGATGCAGCTTCTTAGTTTATAGGCAGATATTTCGGAAGACGTGGCAAAGCAGTCTCAGCCTTGCCACCGGTTCCATTCCTTTAGCGTCAGTACGTTACTTATACGGTGGTTACTTTGGCTAGGCTGTTCCCTTCTCTCAAGGGACAGCCCTGACAAAGGACTACGCAAGTCTTCAACAGCAAGCACATTCGCCATGCTATGCCATATGTGTCAGTTTAACTTTGGACGTGTAGACATGTTTCCACATCAAAATACTGACACATCCAGTATTTTGATAGTAACAGGCTTTTGATAGTAACAGGTTGCACATTGTCAACATATGATTTGTATATGTTATAGGCTAGCTAGGTGCATGCTTATGTAGAGTACAGCCCCTTCGGTTATATCCCCTTGTACCACTTCATTCTAGTTAATTCGTTCTACGTTAAGATGGTATCAGATTAGGCTAGGTCTCCCAGAGTAGCGAGATGGTTAGAAAGATGAGTACAAAGTACTTTTACCTAGGCATACACCTAACTAGCCTATACTAACATATTGCATATATGTGTAACACACCCCCTAGGCTTGACAAGGGGTAGTGCCGGGCAAGAGACATGCAACTCAGGGTGGCACTACTAGTCCATCCTCTGAGGCAAAGGTCTGAAGACCAGTCAGGAGAGTACCCAAACAAGACAAGAGCAAACCAGGGCGGCACAACTAGTCCTGCCACTTGAGTAGAGGCCACAAGGCCAGTCAGGAGAATATAATAAGAGTCGTACACAATCAAGGCCCTAGCAAATGTGAAGCTACAGGAACTAGACCTAGCAGTACACACTACCGCTGATGATCTTTAGGCGCAAGCGCCTTAGTAAAGATATCAACTGTGTTGGCACCAGAGGCCAAGTGAACTACACGAGCTTGGCGACGCTGCTGTAGCTCACGCAAGAGGAAGTACCGCAGCTGGATGTGCTTCGCTTTGCCCTCAAGTCGAGGCTCCTGACACAGGAGGATCATAGCCCTGTTGCCAGCGTACAGAACCGGGGCAGAGCCAGGCCACTCACTAAGTCTGTGAGCAAGAAGGTCAGCCAGCGGAGCTCCTGTGCCGCCATGGCACCGGCGTAGATCTCAGCATCACAGCTGGACTGAGCAACAGACGACGAGCAAGTGGATCTCCAAGAGATAGCACCCGAACCAAGACTAAAACAGTAGCCCTGAGACGACCTGAGAGTCTCTGAGTCGTCTGCCCAAGAAGCGTTTGTGTGCCCAGTGAGGACCACTGGTCTGCGTCCTCCTAGCACTAACCCCATGCCCGATGTACTTGCTAGATAACGCAAAACCCTCTTAACGGCTGACCAGTGCTGTGGTCGATGTCTGCCTGTGGCCATAAACCGAGCCAGGATGCTGAGAGGGTATGCAAGATTTTGACGAGTGCAAGTCATCAGGTACATAACGTAACCCACCAACTCTGCGTAAGGACCACTACGCTCTACAGACTCCTCAGGGACTGGAGCCGAGAGCCCGTGATCTACCGGCAGAGGCGTGGGCTGTGCGGAAGAGAACTGAAAGGCCGAACCTCTGAAGGACTTGGCGCACCAAGTGTGACTGTGTAAGAGTGATGGTGTGCGCTACATCGTCCCTGGAGATTTGCAGGCCAAGGTAGCGGCACAGCTCTCCAAGGTCAGTGCAGGTGTGTCTCCTCAGCAGCTCAGGCTTCACGGAGGCCAGTGTGTCTCTGTCTGCAGAAGCGAAGACCACGTCGTCAACGCAGACAAGGATGTTGAACGGTGTCTGGCCTGAACGAACAAAGAGTGAGGGGTTTACAGACGAAGGGAAGAGCTACAGGTCAGCTAGGGTAGCACTCAACGTATCGTGCCACTCGTGGGGCGCCTGCTGCAGGACGTAAACTGGGCGCCGAAGCAGCCACTCCATCCCAGGGGCAAACGAGCCAGTGAAGCCTGGCGGGCGACGCAGGTAGACCTGTTTGTGCAGATTGCCTTAAAGAAACGCTGTGGAGAAGTCGAGAGAGTGCAGCTCGTAGTCACGCTGTGCTGCTACGTCTAGCAGCGCCCGAAGAGTGGTCATCTTCGGGGTCGGGGCAAAGGTCTGAAAGAAGTCAACACCCTCGCACTGACTGAAGCCTCTATCCACGTAGCGCGCCTTGAACACCGGCGGCTCTCCAGGAGGGCGCTTCACTTTGAAGAGCCACCGGCCATCAACTACGTTCACCCCAGGTGGGGGAACTGCGTCGATGTAGGTGCCAGTGGATCTCCAAGATGCCATCTCTTACTCCATGGCAGCTATCCACTGAGAGGCCCAGGGTCCCGAGGTCGCCTCAGCGTAGGTGCAAGGGGTCGGGATGTCGAGGGCATCTGGGCCACCCTCAGGGACTAGCAGCATGGAGCAAAGATGAGGCGTAGCCTCGGAGGCGTCGGGTCAGGAGACAGAGGAGGAGACACAGGAGGGGAACAAGGGGGAAAACGAGCCGGAGACGAGTCTAGCGGAGGAAACACATGGCCGTAGGCAGGCAAGGGAGGTGGCGGCGAAGGAGGCGCAGGCGGGGGGTCGGGGGAAGGAAGACCGAGGAGGCGAAGGACAGACACCGGCGGCGTCTGCTGTTGCGGCGGCTCCACGCCGACACCAGAACCTCTAGCTGTACCACGGCTACCTCAAAGAAGCTCCACGCCAGCATTCCTAGAACGGGAACCCTCTCTAGCACCGGTGTCACCCCCAGGACCCGTGGACCCCGGCAGCAGCTGCTGCTACGACGGCGGCAACTGCTGCGGCTGTGGCTGCGGCAGCGGTGACGTTAGCTGTTGTTGCGGTGGTGTCGGCGGCTGTTGCGGTGACAGCGGATGAGGAGACACTTGGGCAGAGATCGGAGGCAAGGACGGAGCCGCGGGACCAACAGATTCAGATGACTCCTCGAGTGGGACAATCGACGAGAGGGGAGTGACGTGAGACACACTAGACAGGGCAAGACGGGGGGGGGGAGGAGCAGGGGCTACCGGGGGAGTGGGAACCAAAATTGGGGCGGGGAAACTGAGAAGGACCTCAATAAGGAAAGCGGTGGTAGAAGGAGATAGACTCGTCAAATGTGACATCACGCGATTAAAAAAAGCAGTGGGACGACGGGTGGTAAAAGTGCCTGTCGGACGAGTCGAGGGGGAAGCCAAGGAAGACACACAGGACTGTGCAGGAAGTGAGCTTGTTCGTGCCAGAGACACGAACGTGAGCAAGGCAGCCCCAGACGTGGAACGCAGACGTGTCGCCAGGGAACCTGGAGAAGGGTCGACGAAACCTGCGGCCGTAGAGAGTGCGGCCACAGGTTAAGCTAGTGAGCGGCGAGCAGCGAACGGCCAAAGAAAATAGGGTGCACCGGCATGGATCATTGAGGTATGAGCCACCTCCATGACCAAACCGATGCGTCGCGGGGAGTCCAGTAGAGTGTACGACTGGGTGATGTCCTCCGCACGACAGAATTGGCCAAGCCGACCAGAGGCAAACTCGCCACTATGGTCGGAGTGGAGATACAGTACGGGACGACCGTGGTGGACGCGCGCAGCTACGACCCACGGGATAAGAACGTCAGACACGTCGGTCTTCCACTCCAGAGGAAACACCGTATTGTAGCGTGTGTAGTTATCGACAAGCGCTAGAAAGTAGCGCTCTCGACGAGGCCCGGGGATGGGGGCTGGGCCTTAGACGTCCAGGTGCAGGGTCTGGAGTGTCGCCGTGGTCGGGCGAAGTGAGGAGGAGTGAGGAGCACGGCGTAGTCGGCCCTTGAGGCAAGGTATGCACGGCAACGCAGACGAGGGAGGGAGGGCAGGGAGCGACGCAGGGAGACCTAGGACAAGACCGTGCTGGGACATGAGACGCTGACGAGGGAGTGTGGGGTGACCTAGACGGTGGTGCCACAGAAGCGACGGGTGAGTGAGCAACCGACACGAGTAGGCTGCAGCGACCTGAGTAGACGCAGGTACCTAGCAGGACGCCCTCACCAAGGGGGACTCGGTGTCGAGGGTAAACAGGCCAGATCGAGGGTCCCAGGGGAATGTGGTGAGGGGGGTACCTGTAGCGGCGTCGGTACAGACCGCGTATCGCTCATGTCTAGGGAAAGTAGTGGTGACGCCGAGGTCCTGAAGACAGCCGACACCAACTTGGGTCCTGGAGAACAAGGGGATGTGCAGGCCGGTGAGGGAGCCTGAGGGAGCCGCCGTACATGGAAGGGTAGTGGAGCTACGAGCAACAACAGGGCCCGAGGAAGGGTCAGCAAGCGCGACAGCAGCAGGGGCGGCAAGCGGTGTGAGCTTAGTGTGGTCGCGGAAGAAGCAGGCAGAAGCGCCAGAGTCAAGTGTGAAGGAGAGCAAAGCGGAAGCTGCAGCTGTCGGAGGAGAGAGCGTGGAGCCTAGACTAAACAAAGCAGAAGGTCCTACGCCCGACGCAGCCAGGGAGTCTAGACTACACACAGGTGGCACACCTGAACTAGGCAACACATGGTAATAAGCTCCGGTCACACTAGAGGCATCAGCATACAGGGCATGCAAAGCAGAACAAGCACACCATGGCGCACAAGACTGAACCAGACGGGGAGGTCCGGCGCCGGGCCGAAGCGGAAGCAAAAGAGGTCATCGAGGCGGCGGAAGCAGCGGGTGGTAGGGTGCGGATGACCACACACAAAGCCGCGGAAGGGGCCGGTCTGGAGCTGGTACTGGCAACCCCCAGTACTGGAGTTGCCGCCCGACTCCGAGCTGCGAGGGCCGCCACCGCGGTCACCACCACCAGAGGCACCGGGCCACCCCGGTGGGAGGCAACGCCACGACTGCTACTGCTACTGCGGTGGCTGCTGCTGCTGCTGCTCCAGGGCACCAGCCCCGGTCCCCTCGTCAGAACCGCTGTCCCGGCCCCCACCTCCACCACCCCTACCACCCCCACCACCCGGACCTCCACCACGCCCCCCCTTGGGGCGGCGGCCCCTACACTGACGCGGCTGCGCTGAGGCCGCAGCGGCGGTCTCAGTAGCAGGGGCTGTCTCGGCGACAGCGGCAGAAACGTCAGCGTAAGTGCACTAGGAGGGTGCACAGCCCTGAAAGATAGGGACTTCCGCAGTACCAATCGACTGAGCGATAGTACGCTGACGAGTCTCTACCTCGGACATGGCAATGACAAAGGCGGTAAGAGTGAGGTCATTGGGGTGCTAACTAAGGTATTGGTCGCGGGCAGTGGCTAAGCGGTCCGGAAGGCACGTGGCTTTTAGGTAAAGGGTGGCACACAGCAGCGGCGGGAAGGCAGTGAGTTGGGCCTCAGTGCTAGCGGCACAGTAGCTAGACTCGAGTGCACGGAGGTGAGTGGCTAGGTCAGTAACAGTGGGGAAGGCCGCTAGGTTTTGGGAAAAGCATGGGGAGGATCAGGCGGTCAGCTCCGTATCTAGGCGCAGCACATCGTCCGCCATCGCACGTCCGCAACGACATGGCGGCACCTCGACACGGCGGCACCACGACACGACTCCACGGTGCCACAACGGCAATGCAACACGGCTACACTTGGGCACAGATCCACAGCGCCATGGTGGCACTGCGGCATGGCTACACTGTGGCATGGCTACACTGTGGCATGGCTCCACGGCTCCACGGCGCCACGGCGGCGCTGCGGCACGGCTACACAGCAGCGTAGCGGCACGGCGGCGGCGCGGCGGAGGTGGGAGGACGGCGGCATGGCAGCGGCACGGCGGCGGCACGGCAATGGCACGGCGGGGCGCAAGGGACCAGCAGGGCGCTAGGGGGCCAGCGGGGCAGGAACGGGGCCAGCAAGGCGCTACCGGGCCATCGGGGCACTAAGGGACCTGCAAGGCGTACGGGGCCAGCGGGGCGCATGGGGCAAGCGAGGCTCGACGGGGCCAGCGGGGCGCTAATGTGGCCTGCGAGGTGCATGGGGCTAGCAGGGCGCGACGGGGCTAGCGGGGCATATGGGGCCAAGAGGGCGTTAACGGGCCAGCGGGACGTACGGGGCCAGGAGGGCGCTAACGGGGCCTGCGAGGCGCACGGGGCTAGCAGGGCGCGACGGGGCTAGCGGGGCGTACGGGGCCAAGAGGGCGCGAACAGGCCAGCGGGGCGCCTAGGGGCCAGCAGGACGTACGAGACCAAGAGGGCTCTAATGGGCCAGCGGGGCGCTTAGGGGCCAGCAGGGCATATGGGCCAAGGAGGGCGCTAACAGGCCAGCGGGGTGCTAAGGGAATAGCAAGGGCGGAAGCGGGTGGGGGGGCGGAACCTACTCGATACTATCTCAGAGTAGCGGGATGGTTAGAAAGATGAGTACAAAGTACTTTTACCTAGTGGGTGGTACTCTCTAAAGGCATACACCTAAATAGCCTACACTAACATATTGCATATATGTTTAACAAGGTCTGCCCACCCGCTTCCGCCCTAGCCCCTAGCGCCTCGCTGGCCCCTTGGCGCCCCGCTGGCCTGTTAGCCCCCCGCTGGCCCCTTAGCGCCCCGCTAGCCCCGTACACCCCGCTGGCCCCACTACGCCCCGCTGGTCCCGTCGAGCTCCGCTAGCCCCGTGCGCCCCGCTGGCCCCATATGCCCCGCTGGCCCTGTTCACGCCCCGCTGGCCCCGTCGAGCCTCGCTAGCCCTGTGCGCCCCCCTGGCCCCGTACGCCCCGCTGGCTCTGTCGACCCCCGCTAGCCCTGTGCGCCCCGCTGGCCCCGTATGCCCCGCTGGCCTTGTTCGCGTCCCGCGGGCCCTGTCGAGCCCCGCTGGCCTTGTCCGCCCCGCTGGTCCCTTCCACCCCGCTGGCCCCATTTGCGCCCCGCTAGCCCCGTGCGACCCGCTAGCCCTAGCCCATCGGCCCTAGCTCGCCGGCCCCACCTCGCCGACTCTCGCTCGTAGGCCCTAGCTCGTCGGCCTTCGCTCGCTTGCGGCCCCCGTTCCTGCCGGCCCCAACTTCTTGCCGGCCCCAGCTTCTCGCGGCGCCACCGTGCCGTAGTGCCGCCATGTTACCGTCCCGCCGTTCCGCCATGCCGCCATGGTGCCGTCCTACTATGGAGCCGTACCGCCGTGCCACCGTGCTGCAGTGTCGCGGTGTCGCCGTGCGCCGTGCCGCCGTGTCCCCGTGCCGCCGTGTCGCCGTGCGCCGTGCCGCCGTGCCTCCGTCCTGCCGTAGAGCCATGCCGCTGTGTTGCCATATCGGTGTGCCACCGTGTAGCTGAGGCCGTGCAATGGCGGACGCTGTGTTCCGCCTGGACGCGGAGGGGCGGTCGATCGTCTTCGATGCGCGGCTTGTCGACCTTCACCGTCACCTGACAGGTCAGCGGCAGGACGGTGACCCCTCTGGCTATTCATGTCGATGGTTTGCATCCCCGCCCCCCCGTGCCTGGTGCCCTCCCTGATGCCCCCGCCACTGCTGAGCGTGAGGCCTTTTCTGCTGTTGCGCTTGCTCGCGCTGTCTGGGAGTCGCGCGATGCCGTAGCACAACTTGCCATTAGTCACGTCCTCCCCCTGTCTGAGCGTCCCCGCTTTACCACTATAGCGAACGCCAAGGTTAGATGTAGTCATTGCGCGATACTCTAGGCCCGTCTTAGCCTCAGCTGGCCGCCTGATCCTCCCCATGCTTATCCCTGATCTTGCGGCTTTCCCCACTGTCGCTGACCTAGCCACTCACCTCCGAGCACTTGAGGCTAGCTACCATGCCGCTAGCACTGAGGCCCAGCTCACTGCCTTCCCTCAGCCGCTTTGCGCTACCCTTTACCTCATTGCCACGCGCCTCCCGGGCCGCCTAGCCACTGCCCGCGACCACTTCCTTAGTTAGCACCCAGGTGACCTCACCCTTTCCGCCTTTGTCACCGCCTAGTCTGAGATAGAGACTCGCCAGCGCACTCTCGCTCAGTCTAGCGGTACTGCAGCGGTCCCTATCTTTCAGGGCTGTGCTCCCTCCCAGTGTACTTACTCTGACATCTCTGCTGTTGTCGCTGAGACAGCCCCTGTTGCTGAGACCGCCGCTGCGGCCTCAGCACAGCCGCGTCACGATAGGGGCTGCCGCCCCAAGGGGGGGCGTGGCGGGGGGAAGGGTGGTGGGGGTGGGGGTGGGGACGGTGGTTCCGACGAGGGGACTGGGTCTGGTGCCTCGGAGCAGCAGCAGCAATAGTATCCTCAGCAGCAGCAGCAGCAGCAGCAGCAGCAGTCGCAGCAGCCGCCACAGCAGTCGCACCAGCAACAGCAGTAGCAGCAGTGGGGCCGCCTCCCGTCAGGGTGGCCGGGTGCCTCTGGCGGTGGTGGCCATGGTGGCGGCCCTCGCAGCTCGGCGTCGCATGGCAGCTTCGGTGCTGTGGGTTGCCAGTACCAGCTTCAGACTGGCCCCTTCCGTGGCACAGTGTGTGGTCGTATGAGTCACACTGCCGCCCGCTGCTTCCGCCACCTCGACGACCTCTTTCGTCTCCGTTTCGGCCCTGCGTTCCCGACTGGCCCAGTCTGGTGCGTCGCCGTGTGGCTGTCTTTGAGATGGATATCGATCAGCTTTGCTCTGCCTTGCATGCCATGTATGTTGATGACTCCAGTGTGACTGGACCTTATTACCTTGTGTTGTCTAGTGTAGGTGTGCCTTCTGTGTGTAGTCTAGGCTCCCCTGCTGCGTTAGGCGTAGGACCTTCTGCCTAGTTTAGCCTAGGCTCCACGCTAGCCCCTCTGTCGGCTGCCGCTACTGCTTCGTTCTCGTTCACGCTTGACTCTAGTGCGTCTGCCTGCTTCTTCCGCGACCACACTGCGCTCACGCCGCTTGCCGCCCCTGCCCCTGTCGCGCTTGCTGACCCTCTTCTGGTCCGGTAGTATCCCGTAGCTCCATTAACCTTTCCTGTCTGATGGTTCCCTTGGGCTCCCTTACAGGCCTGCACATCCCCTCGTTCTCCAGGAACCTAGTGGGCTGTCTTCAGGACCACGGTGCCACCACTACGTTCCCTGGCTACGAGCGCTACGCGGTCTGTACCAAGGCCGCCTCAGGTGGCCCCCTCATCACGTTCCCCCGGAACTCGGTGTCTGGCCTATTTATGCTCGACACCGAGTCCCCCCTGGTGAGGGCGTTCCCCCAGGTGCCTGCATCTACCCAAGTCGGTGTGGCTTGCTCGTGTCGGTCGCTCACTCACCCGTCGCTTCTGTAGCACCACCGCCTAGGTCACCCCGCACTCCCGTGTCTGCGTCACATGTCCCAGCACGGTCTTGTCCTAGGTCTCCCTGCGTCACTCCTTGCCCTCCCTCCCTCGCCTGCGCAACTATGCACGCCCTGCGTCAAGGTTCGGTTGCGCCATGCTCCTCACTCCTCCTCGCTTTGCCCTTCCACCGCGCCACTCCAGACCCTGAACCTAGACGTCTGGGGCCCAGCCCCCGTCTCCGGGCCGTGTCGAGAGCGCTACTTTCTAGTGCTTGTCGACGACTACACGCGCTACACCTCGGTGTTTCCCCTGGAGCGGAAGGTCGACGTGCCTGACGTTCTTATCCCGTGGGTCGTAGCTGCGCGCGTCCACCGCGGTCTCCCCCTGCTGTGTCTCCACTCCGACCGTGGCGGTGAGTTTGCCTCCGGTCGGCTTGGATAGTTCTGTCGTGCGGAGGGCCTCACCCAGTCATACACCATGCCGGACTCCCTGTAGCAGAATGGGGTCGCTGAGCAACGCATCGGTTTGGTCATGGAGGTGGCTCATACCTCCATGATCCATGCCGGTGCAGACCATTTTTTGTAGCTGGGGAGGAGCCTAGGGGAGATGTAGTAGAGGCTCCTAGGGTAGACACAGTGGTGGGACCTGGACCCCTAGGCCCCAAGGCCCCCGGTCCTCCAGAGAAACCACACTTGCCCCAAGGCAGTGACCGCCCCAAGGCTGCACCTCCAGAACCTCCACCTCGCCCAGCACCCCGAAGACCCCACTGCGGCTGCTGCTGCCACTGCTGCTGCTACTGCTGCGGCACTGGCCTGAGAGCCCGGAAGCAGACGTGGAGGTCGTGGAGCCAGAAGGCAAGGAGGTAACCAATGTGATCCTTTAGGAGCGTGCAGTCTAGGTGCGGGCTCACCAGATGTAGACGGAGAGCGAGAAATTGGAGAGCGGAGGGAAGTGCCCGACAGTCTGGCCGAGGGATTGACCCGAACGGCACTAGAGAAACAAGGAGGAGACTAGTGGGAGGAACTAGGTGCTACGGGAGCGCTAGCGGAGGTAGTAGCAGTGGCGACTGTGGCCGGAGCAGTGGCAGCGAACAGGAGACTAGTATAGCAGCGACTAGCGGTAGGCTGACAATAGCAGGAGCGAGTGACAGTAAGACGGCAGCGGCGCTAGCTGGCGGCGGGCTGGTAGCAAGGGCAGCGGTGACAGCAGCAGCTGCAAGGGCAGCGGCGACAGTGGCGGTTGAAAGGGCAGCGGCGGCAGTGGTGACTGTAGCTGGTGGTTCTAGCGGTAGAGGCGGCTGCGGCAGTGGCGGTAGTTGCAGTGGCAGCAGCGGCAGTGGCGGTAGCAGCTGCAGGAGTGGCAACGGCAACAGCGCAGCTGTAGCAGCAGAGGCGGCAGCGGCAGTGGCGGTAGCGGCTACAGCAGTGGCAGAGGCATCGCAGCTGCAGCGGCAGTGGCGGCAGCAGCTGTAGCAGGGGCATCGGTGGCAGTGTGGGCTGCTGCAGCAGCAGTGGCGTCAACGGCAATGGCTGCAGTGGCAGCGGCGGCTGCGGCAGCGGCAGTGGCTGTAGAAGTTGCGGCAGTGGCTGCAGCGGTTGCGGCAGTGGTTGCAGTGGTTGCGGCATGGGCTGCAGCAGTTGTGGCAGTGGTAGTGGATGCAGCGGCATTGGCAGCAGTAGTGGCGGCAGTGGGAGTTGCAGCAGCAGTAGTGGCGGCTGCGACTAGCTGGCAGCAGTGGCTGGTGTAGCAGCGAGCTGGCCAGTGACGAGCTGGCAGGCGCTGCTGGCGAGTAGCTCGCAGAAGGTGCTGGCGGCGAGCTGGCGGACGCTGCTGGCTACAAGCTGGCTAGAACTTCTGGCAGCGCGCTGGCTAACGCGACTAGCGAGCTAGCTGGTTAACGTGCTTGCTAACTGGCTGGCACATCGGCTGGTGCATAGAGTGGCGTGCTGGCTAGTGTGCTGGCCGGGGCGTTGACTGGTGCGTCGGCTAGCGTGCTGGCTAGCATGCTGCTGACAAGTGTGCTAGTTAACGTGCTGGCTAGCGGGCTGGCTGGCTCGCTGGCCTGCTAGCTGCCGTACGAAACAACGCGAACTCCAGGGGGGAGGGCATCGAGACTACAGAGCGTGAAATTGGAGGGCAGGGGGTGCGCGAAATTAAGAGTTGCAAACGTGCGAGAGAGAGAGAGAGAGAGAGAGAGAGAGAGAGAGAGAGAGAGAGAGAGAGAGAGAGAGAGAGAGAGAGAGAGAGAGAGAGAGAGAGAGAGAGAGAAAGAGAGAGAGAGAGAGAGAGAGAGAGAGAGAGAGAGAGAGAGAAAGAGAGAGAGAGAGAGAGAGAGAGAGAGAGAGAGAGAGAGAGAGAGAGAGAAAGGGACGCTACAGTAACAGCGGAAGTGTGAGGAATGGCGGAAATATATACATATATATATACTGTATATATATGTATATTTAACCTAGCTCAATACCATGCTAGAGTAGCAGGAAAAGTGTGACTAAGGGAAAATGTCGAGGGTTACAAAAGTAGGGCTGTACTCGCTAAGAACTAAACTAGCTAGGCTATAAACAAATATGACCTAGCTAATCTATGAAAATATATTTGTTGACAGTCTCAGAGTAATGAATTGAGTATGATTAGGGGATACAAGAGGATATAAACTAAGGTGTTGAGCATGCACCTATCTAGCCTATGACATATAAAATTATATGTTGACACACCCCCTAGGATAGACAAGGGGCAATGACTAGCACAAGACATGCAACTCAAGGTGGCACTTCTAGTCCAACCTCTGAGACACGTGTCTGCAGACCAGTCAACAAGACTACAAAGGAAAAAGGAGTAACCCAGGGCGGCACTACTAGTCCAGCCACTGGGAGAGGCCACAAGCCACAACTCTTATTGCCGGTCCTCCATGACGGCACTGCCAAGGGCAGCAGCACCCCCGACGGATAGAGGATGGGCAGGGTCAGAGACCAGAGCTGTGGCGTAGTCAAGACGGTGGGTAGAGGCAAAGTCAACGACGGCAGCGACAAGAGCGTCAAGACTCGAGACAATAAACAGACGAGTCGATAACGAGGGAGGCAAGGACGCGAGGAACAAGAGGACTAGCAGCACGAAGGAAGTTAGATAGAGGAGGCGGAGTGACAGCAAGCGACGACAGAGGAGGCAAAGAGACGCGTGGGAAAGGAGCAACATAGGGTTAGAGCGCTAAACAGGAGAGACAAGACGCGCACGAGAGGGATGGCGAGACCAGAATTGGGATGGAGGCGTCGGGTCGGGAGACACTGGAGGAGAGACAGGAGGAGAACGAGGGGGGAACGGAGCCAGAGACGAGTCTGGAGGAGGAAACACAGGGCCGTAGATAGGCAGGGGAGGCAACGGCGGGGGAGGCTCAGGCGGGTGGTCAGGGGAGGGAAGACCGAGGAGGCGAAGGGCGGAAACCGGCGGCGACTACTGCTGCGGCTGCTGCTCCACGCCGACACCAGAACCTCCAGCTACACCACGGCTACCTCTGTGACACTCCACGCCAACATCCCTAGAGCGAGAACCCTCGCCAACATTGACGCCACACCCAGGACCGATGGGATGAGCCATGACAGTAACCACAGGACTAGCACCCCCAGAACCAGCACCCCCGGAATGAGAACCCTCTCCAGCACCGCTGCCACCCCAAGGACCACCGAGACGAGCCACGATAGGAACCCCATGACGAGCACCCTCCTTATGGCCCGCACCCCCAGAGCTCGCGGACCCCTGCGGCGGCGACAATTGCGGTTCCTGCTGCGGCGGCGGCTGCTGTGACGACGAAGGAGGAAACACCACGGCGGAGACAGGTGGGGAGAATGGTGCCGCAGGGCCACCATAGTCAGCCGACTCCTCGACCGGGACAACCGATGGGAGGGGAATGATGTGAGACACACCAGATGAGGCAAGATAGGGAGGGAGAGGAGCAGGTGCTACTGGGGGAGTGGGAACCAGAAACATGGGCGGGGAAATCGGGAGACCTCGGTGGGGAAAGTGGTGGTAGAAGGCGACAGACTCATCAAAAGTGACGTTACAAGAGTGAAAGAAGCGGTGAGACGGCGGGTGGTAAAAGTGCCAATCAGACGCGTCGAGGGGGAAACCAAGGAAGACACAGGGGACAGTGCGGGCAGTGAGCTTGTCCGTGCCAGAGGAACGAACGTGAGCAAGGCAGCCCCAGAGGTGGAACGCAGACGCGTCACAAGGGAACCCGGTCCAGAGGAGGGTCGGCGAAACCTGTGGCCGCTGGGAGTGCGGCCACAGGTTAAGCTGGTGAGCGACGTAGCGAACAGCGAACGGCCACAGAAAATGGGGTGCACTGGCATGGATCATGGAGGCACGAGCCACCTCCATGACCAAACCAATGTGTCGCTCAGCAACCCCATTCTGCTGCGGGGAGTCCGGCAGGGTGTACGACTGGGTGATGCCCTCCGCATGACAGAACGGGCCAAGCCGACCAAAGGCGAACTTGCCGCTTCGGTCGGAGTGGAGACGCAGCACGGGGAGGCAGTGTTGGACTCGCGTTGCTACGATCCACGAGATAAGAATGTCAGGTATGTCGGCCTTCCACTCCAGGAGAAACACCGTGGTGTAGCGCGTAAAGTCGTCAACAAGCACTAAAAGGTAGCGCTTGCGACGCGACCCAGGGACAGGGGGGGAACCCCAAACGTCCAGGTGTAGGGTCTGGAGTGGCGCAGTGGTAGGGAGGAGCGAGGAGGAGTGGGGAGCACGGTGCAGCCAGGCCTCAACGCAAGGCGTGCATAGCAATGGAGGCAAGGGAGGGAGGGCAGGGAGTGACACAGGGAGACCACGAACTAGCCCGTGATGGGACATGTGACGCAGATGCGGGAGAGCGGGGTGACCTAGGCGGTGGTGCCACAGCAGTGTAGGGTGGTTGAGCGATCGACACGAGCATGTTGTAGAACCTGAGAGAACGCGGCGACCTGGGGGGACGCAGTGTCCAGCGTGAACAGGCCAGACACGAGGTCCCGGGGGAACGTGGTAAGAGGGGCTTCGGTGGCGGCCTCGGTACAGACAGCGTACCGCTCGTGTCCAGGGAACGTAGTGGTGACGCCAAGGTCCTGAAGACAGCCGGCACCAACTAGGTTCCTGTAACAAGCCGTAGTGGGGATGTGCAAGCCTGTAAGAGAGCCCGAGGGGACTGCTGAACCTGAGGAGCTACGTGTGACTACTGGACCTGAGGAGGGGTCAGCAAGCGCTACAGCGGCAAGGGCAGCAAGCGGCGTGAGCGAAGTGTGGTCACGAAAGAAGCAGGCAAATGCTCCAGAGTCAAGCGTGAAGGAGAGCAAGGCAGTAGCATCTGCCGTAGCGGCGACTAGCAGAGGGGCTTGCATAGAGCCTAAGCTAAACCAGGCAGAAGGTCCTACGCCTGATGCAGCAAGGGAACCTAGACTACACACGGGAGGCAGACCTACACTAGACAACACAGAGTAATAAGATTCGGTCACACTAGAGTCATCACCATACATGATATACATAGCAATCCTAATCTGATGCATGTCGAGCTTAAAGACGGGCACACGATGGCGGGCCAGGACGTACCAGTCAGGAGGGTTCGAGGTGGGACCTAAGCGGAGACGGTAGAGGTCGTCGAGGCGGGGGTAGCAATGGGCGATGGTGTGACCTGGACGGTCGCAGACAGTGCCGCGGCGGGGGCCGGTCTGAAGTTGGAACTGGCAGGTGCTCACACTGAGGCCGCCACCCGACACCGAGCTGCGCGGGACACCACCCCAACCACCACCACCAGCGCCACCAGGCCATCATGGCAGCGGGGGTCCCCATGGCGGCTGCTGCTGCTGCTGCTGCTGCTGCTGAAGGTGCTGCTACTGCTGCTGCTCCGGGGCACCAGCCCCGGTCCCCTTGTCTGCACCACCGTCCCCGCCCCCACCTCCACCACCCCCACCTTCCCCAACACCCTTCCACCAGCACCGCACTCTGGGGGGCACGGGGCCAGCGGGGTCCAGCGGGCGCGGGGCCAGTGAGCGCAGGGCCAGTGAGCAAGGGGCTGGCGAGCGAGGAGCTGGCGTCGGGAGGGCCGACGAGCGACGGGCCAGCAGGCGTAGGGCTGGCGCGCTTGAGGCCAGCGAGCTACAGGCCAGCGAGCAACGGGGCTGGCAAGCACGGGGCCGGCGAGCGCAGGGCCGGCGAGCGATGGGCCGGCAGGCGCGGGGCTGGCGAGCGCGGGGCCAGCGAGCGACGGGGTTGACAGGCGCGGGGCCAGCGAGCGACGGGGCTGGCAGGCGCAGGGCTGGCGAGCGCGGGGCCAGCAAGCGATGGGGCTGGCAGGCGCGGGGCTGGCGAGCGCGGGGCCAGCGAGCGACCGGGCCGGCAGGCGCGGGGCTGGCGACCGCGGGGCCAGCGAACGGTGGGGCTGGCAGACGCGTGGCTGGCAAGCGCGGGGCCAGCGAGCGACGGGGCTGGCGACGGGCAGCTGGCGCATACGGGCGGCCAGCAGCTACAGGCGGCTGGCGGCTAGCGGCCACCAGTGGTGAGCGGCGCGCGGCTAACAGAGTCGGCTAGCGACGGGCGGCTAGGAGCGGGCAGGCTAGCGACGGGTGGCTAGCGACTACCGGCTAGGAACGGGCGGCTAGAAACGGGCGGCTAGGACTAGGACTAGGGCGGAAGCGCGGGTGGGTGGGGAGGACCTAACCTAGCGCGTGATACCATCTCAGAGTAATGAATTGAGTATGATTAGGGGATACATGTGGATATAACCTAAGGTGTTGTACTCTCTATGAGCATGCACCTATCTAGCCTATAACATATACAATTATATGTTGACAGACAGAACAATCATGGTGGAAATGGAGGGAGGAGGGGGGAAGGAGAGGGGAAGGAGGGGGGAGGGAGGGAGGGGAAGGTATAGGTTGGGAGCAGGTGCTGAAGGAGGGGGGGTGGAAGGAAAGGTTGGGGAAGCTGTTGATGGGTAAAGTGGCGAGGGAGGGGTAGCTGAAGCAAGGGGAGGGAAACGTGTAGAAGCCGGAGGGGTGGAAGGAGGTGGTGGAGAAGGTGAAATATTAGAGGGGAGTTGGGTTGGGTGTGAGGAGAGCTGGAGTGGTGTGGAGGTCTGTGAAGGCAGTGGAGTTAGGAGGCGGTGTGAAGGGCGCTGAAATGGTGTGGGGGTGAGGAGAAATGAAGAGCAGCAGGTCTTTGGGGGCAAGGGACAGAGCAGGCGGAGCTGGAAGTCACGGTGCTGATAACAACTGCCTGGCAGGCCGTGGAGTATGGTGGGTCTTGAGTTCTGAAAGGGGGGAAGCAGCGGGAATGGGAGCAGGCAGACGGGGGGGAGTTGGATGTGATTTCTGAGCTCCAACGCTGATTGTACAGTGTGCAGTGTGGATACTCTTCTTTCTGCTTCCTGTTTAGCTGAGTAACTTGCATGATAGTAACGGAAGATGCAATGATGCGGTTACAACTCAAAGTGCAGTGCATTGATTGAACATAGAGGCAAGATGAATCCTACAGCATGCTATGCCAGCTTTGCTGTGAATGCGGCATCAACAGGTATTGATTGCGCTTTGCACAATTATGTACAGCAGGTGAACCAGTCAGCCTGTGGATGGAGAATCTCCCGTGGGGAGCATTTCTCCATCATACATGTTACATCCCCACCACAAACACCGTATGTTCATTATTTCATATTGTGTGGCAGAATGAAATGGCGCAAAGCAAATTGCATGCATCTGCAGGACCTTCATATGCAGCAGCAGCCAGAAAAGGGATGGGAGGAGGTCGCTGGGAGGGGCATGTTGAGGCGCCTCAAGCCGGGAAAGCACCGCGGTAGAGCAAGAATGTGTGTTTAGCAGTATCCGTACCCAGGAGTGTCATATGAAACTCATCGAGAACAAAATGCAGCACCATTGAACGGTGTAACAAAGCAAGAAAGCAAAGCAAATATGGCTCCGCTGGCTAGTCTCACTCTTATGCCTTACGTTTCCCATCTAAAGCGCCACCCTCCAAATGCCCCTCATATACAGCAGCTCCCTCTGATCAGTGTTTCTTACTGCCTTCCACTGTGAGCTGAGTAAAGGCTTCAGGGGACAAGTACTTCCACCACCGCACTGCACAGTCCTCTTTCTTCGGACCACAGAGAGCATTAGCAGGCTCGCCTACTGGCCTCACCCTAGGTCCCTTCCAAGGCTTGAACTTGCCGTTGAAGTGCAGAATCTTCGCCTCGTCAGCCCACGGGCTAAGGAAGGGAGTCTTGTCAGGTTTCCCAAGGCCTATGCGCTCAAAGTAAGCGAGCTCCTTCTTCCCAAACTTTTCCCGGCCCAGCCCACGGGTGTTCCACTCCCGCTTCAGCTTGCGGTAGCGCTCATACAGGGTGAGGAGAAAGGGGGGCTGAGATAGCCCGTAGCTGAAAGAAATGTGGAGGGTGGGTTGGTGGATGAGTTGTCAAGGAAAGAAGGGTGAGCGGAATAAAGAAGTGCAAAGGTTACAGGAAAGGTGAGGGGGGGGGACTGTAATTACCGGTACAATGGTTCTTTGGCAGCATTGTGCTGCTGCATCCACCACTCGATGGATTCGGTCATGTTCTGAGCTAGCCATTGCTGCACGTCCATCACCAGCACTCCTCGGTTGAAAACACAAGCACTCTTGTCAAATGGGAATTTCGGCATGCGTGGCTGGTCAGGCTGGCTCCGTGCATGGATATCCGCCAACTGGTTGAAATCAAAGTATTGGTCGAATGTCTGCATGCAGTCCTCCACCGCCGCTGCAGCCATGCCGCCCATGTCAACATGAGCCAATTCCTCAATGTCACCCTGAGAGTTATACATGGCATTGTGTAAGTAGCAATATGAGCAAGAGGGAAGGGGAAAATGGTTCCCAATAACTTGACTGAAGGACCCTAGAAACAGAAGGCGATACAGATTCAGGTCAAAATCGAGATCAAATCAAGTTGGCACACGTACCACGACAACAATGTCTGAGTCGAGGTACACAATCCGGTCGAGGTCCTGAGCGATGAGTGGCAGATAAAACGGCAAGAAGTTGAAGACGCTAACCAGCTCTTCCCTTGCCTTGCTTCCCTCCTTGTATACTATGAGATGCTGGATCCGCTCGCGATCAATCGGTTTCCTGACAAGGGTAATGACAAATGATCAAACGAAGAGCATTAAAGTGTGCCTTTTTTTATGGACTTTGTCAGGCGACGGATAGAATACATAAAGTCATTCCAAACGAAACTAACAAATGCCCGACACTGCTCATTGCGTGACTTCCCCTGTGTGATCTTAGCCTCTCAGCGCCATTCCCTTGCGTCAACGACATACCGGTTGATGTCGATCCGGACGTGGGGAAAAATGGGGAGCAGCTTCTCCTCGGTTGCCTGGATATTTTCCTCCGGTATCACCAAATGAAAGAATATCAGGTGCGGGTTCCTGGTAGAAATCCAGAGTAGAAAGAATCAACACGAAGCGTTGACTTGCTGGAACTCCGACAAGAAATCTTAGAATGGGGCCAGATGAGTAGGCAGTAGAACCAGGGACAAACAGACGGACACTAGTTAGAAACTACCAAGTGTGAAGATCTGGACCCCAGAAGGCATGATGGAAGTCGTCGAGAAAACTATAGTTAGCAACTCACCTCGTGTTCGTGATTGTTGAATTGATGACGACGGCGATCGGCCGTAAGTCCGCTTCGTCTGTCGAGACGAACACATGGACGTCCCTCGGTTTCGACTGCGAACGGTCCGGTTTTTCGCTGGTCGAATCGACCGTTTCCGGATCAGAACTGTCTTTCTCCACCCGCTCTGCAGAAATTTCGGCATGCACAACGCCGGCGTTGTTCCCGCTCTGGTCGCCCTCCTTAGGAACTTCGGCATTTTGAACTGGTGCTCCTTGGTGTTGCTGCTGCTCCTGGCTTGTGCTCTGCTGCCAACCGAAGTCTGACGTCGATGGGACATCCAGCGTGGTTCGCGCAGTCCTGTCCGCTCCCTGTTGCATTCGTCTGGTATCGAGACTTCCCGCTGATTTCGCACTTCCTGCTGCTTTTACACTAATGGACACCGCGCCGGAAGCCAATCCGCCGGTGGCCAGAGTGACCGAACTTTGTTGGTTCGAGCCCGTCATGGACACCTTGGATGTCATTCTCAAGAGCGAGCGCTGGACGTCGTGCGGGGTGATCCCATGAAGCAGCATGTGGAGGAGGAGGAAGATGCAGCCGATAAGGACGCCCACAAGCATTGTTCTCCCGTCGAGTCGCCTTCCCGCGGCTTCTTTCTTCAGCGTGTCCGTGTCTGCATCGCCAGGCAAATCAACCAGCAGAGCGGTGTCGGTGATCTTTGAGAGGAGACCAGCCGTCTTGCCTCGGCTCGCTGACTTGGAAATTCCTTCGGGAGTTTTTGCTGACGCCATGATACTAGCAAAGCACTGGCGGCTGACAGAGAGTGCGTGGCAGCCGAAGCAGGGGTTGAAGTCACACTACCATTGATTAGGATGAAAAAAACGGATTTCACCAATGCATCCCTTCACTGCTTGGGACAACTTGGCTGATGGAAGTAGCTACTCCAACCCTCCGTGTTTCTCACTACCACCTGGTAGATTGGGAGTGACTTCATAAAGCAACTTCTGGAGACCTCTTGGCTCTGCCTTTGAAAGACTCGCCAAGCCGAACCTCCTCGCATCTACCTCTCACCTCCACTCGTTGGTATGGTGCGTCTCCTCGACTCTCTTCTCTCCTCTCCCCTTTCCTTGGCTCCGCTCCAGTCATCAGGCTGACTGAGCCTTGAGTTTCGATTTTGACCACCTGTCTGACCAGCCCCAGATTCCTCCAATGAATTCCCGTTGCGCAAGCCTCGAGGAAATTGGCGCGTTGGGATTGGCCCGCGGGGCGAGGAGGGGGGCGTCTCTGTGGAATCGCCGTGCGACTCGCACGATAGCTCCCTGTCGACGCCTTGATTCTGGTCAGGGAGTCCCAGTAGTTAACGAAACATATGGCGAAAGCATGAGGCATTTGCGAAGTACCAAGGCGAAATATGAATGGTATGTCAAATATAACCTGGATACAGTTTTGCCCTTCTTTCGCCTACTCCAAGCGTGCGAACTCACCCTCGCGGCTCGGTAAACGACATCTCCGCAACGCGACTGGAGCATCCACGGCATGCTCAAGTGAGTGCAGTTGCTGTGCCGCTGTCACTGGGAGTGTCGTTTTGCACTGCTCACCTCGGCCTCACATTTTCGCGCCGCGCTCAAGATTCGTAAGCATCGATATCAACCCTGTTTCGTTCAGGCTACACGTCTTTCTCATAGAACATGCGGAATGACTGATGTGGATAGAAAGACCTTCCTTTCACCATCACATGGCTTGTTGGCTCTAGTGATACCCTGCAAGCATTCTATGCATGTGGATCCGATAAATATAAATCACTAATTAAAATCCACATTTTACCTTTAATTCTAATACTTATTTACGGGTATCGAGTGATGACTATACATGCGTATCCCAGATCTCGTTGCCTTAATGTAAAAGGGTTTTTCATCCGCATATTTTTTTGCATACATCTGCTTTCGCTGCTATTTTCACCATAAAATCACTCAAATCCATATTGCATGGGCCAAATGTATCTAGTATGCAGGCACACATAACGTGCAACTTGGAGCACACCGCGATTGCATTCGCCCACAAGTCGCTGGTTGCCGATGGCTGGCTTTTGCAAGGAGCCAGGTCGGTCAGTCCTCCCCGTCCCTTCTGTCATCCCCGCCACCTCGCGCAATCCGCCCCTTCAAACCCTCAGCGCGGCGTTCTCAGGGCGCGGAACAATGCGTCCGGTTCAACGATCGTTTTGCGATCCTTGAACTGTAGAAAGAGGGTAACCAGCAAGCTACAGTGACCTCGAAATAGTCATGTACCAGATCGGAGGAGGGGATCACTTCCGAAACAACCCCGCAAAACGATATGACGTCCGACTTACTCTCGATCCCACGCGCCTAAGTCCCAGATCCCAGCACACCAACTCGCGAATGGGTTTGGCCCGCGTCGCGTACAAGCTTGTTGCGGAAATTGCGATTGTCGAGTGCTGGTTGCTGGGTTTGCACGAAAGCCTTGGCGAATGTCATGCTGCCATGCTGCAAGTTGATTTTGCGGGTCGAAAGCTGCAAATCTGGAACTCGACTATATCGCGTACAAGTCAGCTAGTGAGGATCGTTTTAATTTGTCCAAAACGATCTCGCAAAAAAAAAAAGGAAATACGATATTTCAGCCGCAATCCTCCTAAACGGACGCAATGTGCCGCATCCTCAGGGACTGACCTGTGCGCTTCATGATCGCGCTCCCATCCCCACCACCCCTTTCCCCCCCCACAAGCAGTTCCCCCATCCTCCTCAATGCAGTCCCGAGGTCCTGTAAAACAGCATCATGTAAAACTCAAGCATGCACCTAAAGCGGCCCTCGTGCAGCAATCAACTCCTAGGACATTCTGTGCCTGTAGCCTTGCTTCCACAATCCTGTGCCTGCGTCATCTCTCCGTGGTAATTCGTCTTTTGCCTATCCTAACACATTATGTACGAACGTCTTTAGTGATCGGACATACTTGCTGAATTCTTGTTCACTGGCCGAAGTCGACGACCTCGTTACAGAGAGTGCGCTGCGGCCCCTGGTCGTGGGATCGCGGGGGGCCGATGGAGATCGTTCGCACCGTGGATCGCGCGGGGACGAACGAGCTTAAGAACCGCGTGGCGGAGTCGCTTAAGATTATCACCAAGGCGCTCGCCGTTTACGGGTATGAAGCCAAACGAGGTATATCAAAGCCTAAGGGGCGTTCACATACCAAGCCCGGCGGTTCCACCCCTCTACGTCTCATACATGCACTCTACACGCTATTCTGCTTCGTAACGGATGCGATTATTTGTTTCTTGTTTGTTGAGCTTTTTCTTCCTTTCCTGTTTTCCAATTTCCTGCGGATACTTACGTCCGACGGTGCTTGTTTCGTGCAGGCTGCGGGAAGTCGCCTTCAGCTTCAATGGCGGGAAGGATTCGACGGTGAGTTTGTTATCGCACGGCGCATTGTGCCATATTCCAGGAGTGGAAGGAGAACCTGGGTGAAGGTTGTGGCTGACGCCAAAGTAAAGAGAATTAAGTAATTGTAGGAGCGAGGATTGCGTCGGAAGAGAGGCTTGGAGAGTGGAGTTAAGCTTTAAACGCCTGGAAATTGTCTCCTCATGGGAAGCGAGAAAGTCTTTGAGGTAATTTAGTCAATGAAGTATTGACGCGTGCGGGAAGGCGGGAAGGTGAACTTAATGCCGGGTCCCTGTCGGGGGGTGATAGACGTGACTGTGACTCCAACCACCTACCCCCAACCACCAGAAATTTTCCTAGTCCCCTCACATTTCCCCTTCCTCCCCCTTTCATGTCCCGCTTTGCCATCTCTCCTCCCCTCCTCTTCACCCTTTCCCGCGATCTTTCCTCAAACCAGCCTTCAAGTCTCCCCGAGATCCCATCACCGCTCACTCTCCGCATCCCTTCCCTTTTCCCCCTTCCGCCTTCCCCCTTCCCCGTTCCCCCCTCCCTTTCAATTCCCGCCAAACCAGGTAATCCTGCACCTGCTGCGCGCGGCGCTTGTGGCGGCGCGCGCCAAGGGCGTGGACCTGCGGGACTCGACGTGCGCGGACGAGGCGGGCGAGGGGGACTGCGACGACGGCGCGGACCTCCCCGGGTGGCTCGTGGAGGGGCTGGCGGGCAGCATGGACCACCGCGGATGCCCCTCCGAGGGGTGCGAGCACGGCTGCCGCGGGGGAGGCGGGGGAGAAGGCGCGGGCGGAAAAGTTGGAACCGGCGGGGGGGAAGGGGGAGGCGGGGAGGCGGAAGGCGGAGGGGGGGGAGGGGAATGGGCGGGGGCCGTAGAGAAGAATGGCGTGGCGGAGGATAGCGGCGGCGGGGAGAAGGCGAGTTCGGATGAGATGGCGGGGCTGTGCGCGATCTACTTCCGGGACAAGGACGCGTTTCCGTCCATGGACGCTTTCACCATCGAGATGTCGCAGCGGTGAGCATGCATGGCTGCTCGGGTGCACTGGTGCACTGGTTGGGCGGCGTGGGATGGGATGATGGGATTTGTAATTGCTCGTGTGGGATGGTATGATGTTGGAAGATGGGATGATGGAATGATAGCATGTGGAGTCATGCATGGATGCATGCCGATTTACAGCTGGAGTGGTGGGTCATGATGATGAGGGTGAGACGATGGCCATGGCGGGAGGCACTCTCTCACCTCCCGTTTCTTTCTCTCAAGAATCGCCCTCGTGCCTTCCGTCCTTACCTCTTCCTGTTGCATGCCGAACGGGGGCGTGCTGTTGCACCTCCCCTTCCAGGGCGTGGTCGCTGGGCTCTCTTGTCACTTGTCATCAACCATCCCCCCTGCAGTGCCATGCCATACTTCCTCGGTCCACCCCTGTACTGCGCCATGCATGCGCCCCGTACTCCATACTCCATCCCACAACCCGTCATACCCCCACAATCTCTCATATCATTCTACCATGTACCATCCCATGTGCAACGTGCCTGCCGTCCCCCCATGTGCCATGCCACCCCCACGTATGTGCCATCCCTGCATGCGCCTTAGGTACGGGCTGGACCTGATAGTGACGGACGAGGACTTCAAGGGGGGCCTCACGGCGCTCAAGAAGCAGCGCCCCGTGCAAGCCATCTTCCTCGGCATCCGCTCCATCGACCCCAACGGGGTCAGTCGCTCTCTTCCGCCCCTCCTCCTCCCGCCCCCCCGCCCCTGCCGCCACTCTCTCTCCCGTTCTCGCACCCGTTTCCCTCTCTTCATTCTCGCTCGTTCTCTCTTTCCTTCCCTCTCGCCGCCTCTCCCCCTGTTCCTCCCTCTCTCTCTCTTCATAATCTCTCACTCTCGGTTGTCCCCCCCTCCTCTCTCCCTCTCCGCTCCACCGTCCCTGTCTGTCGCCTCTCTCCACACATCTCAAGAATGCCCCTCGCCTGGATTTTCCAGAGTCTAACCTCATCGTCTCTTAAACCCCCTCTTCCTCCCTCTGCTCTCCCCCCCCCCCCCCCCTCCCCCCCCCCCCCCCCTCCTCTCCCCCTCTTCTTCTCCTCACGGGAGCAGAAGAACCAAGCAGTCTTCTCCCAGATGCGGTTCCCAGGCTCATTGTCCTCTCCAACCTCATTCCCCCCCTCCACCCTCCCTTTCTGTCTCTCCTCCCCGTCCCCCTCCCTCCCGACTTCTCCTTCTCCCCACGGGAGCAGAAGAACCAGGCAGTCTTCTCCCACAGCTCGCCTGGCTGGCCGGATTTTGTGCGGGTCAACGTCATTCTGCACTGGTCTTACAGGTGCCTTCCTTCGTCCCACCCCCTTCCTCTTAAAGCGCCCCACAATCTGTATGGCTGCGTTTTCTCTCTCCACTCGTTCCTTCTGGTGCCCCCCTTTATGCCCTTCCCCCTTCCTCCCCCCCACCCTCCTTTCTTCCCCCCCTTCCGCCTTCCGCCTTCCACCTCTCCTTCACTGCGTCTGATGGGCTGTTGTGCTCTGTGCGTGCGTGCATGGCATGGCAGGGATGTGTGGGAGTTCCTCCTTGTCACGAAGGTGCCCTACTGCCATCTCTACGACGAAGGGTCAGTTCTCATACCACATACCTCCCCATCTCGCCTTGCAGCTCTTCCCCTCTCCCCTTCTCCACCCCCCGTCGCTTCCCCCCCTTCCCGTCTCTCTCGCCCCTCTCTCAGACCCTCTCTCCTTCGTCTCACTGTGTCTGTGCACTGCTTCCACTGCCCTCATCTGCCCTCTCTTACAGCACCAGCATTCCCATCACGTTTGCATCTTTCTTCTTTCCCCCTCAGCTTCATCCCGCCATCCCCCCCGCCCTCAGCTTCGTTCCAACAACTAAACCTCTTGCCTCTCCCCCACTATTCCTCTCGCCCACCCATCCCCAGCTTCACATCACTCGGCAGTGTCCACGACACGGAGCCCAATCGCGCTCTCCTCCTCCCGAACCTCCGCCACTGCCTCAAGACTGGCCGGACCTGCGTGTCCGTGCCTCCAGTCGACCCGTCCTGGCCGCCGCCCTCCCCCTCGGCGCTCTGGTCCTTCTCCACCCCCTACTTCCGCAGCTCTAGCTGTCGAATGACCCCCGACCCCCATGCCTCCCTCTGCGTTGCTCAAATGCTGCTTCCGAATCGCACCGCCCCCTTCGGCCGCGGCCCGCCGCCCTGCCCCGTGCATCCGATCTGCCACCTGGCGCGAGTGGCGTCGGACAACGGCGTGGATGTGCATGCGCTGCTGGAGGGAGGAGCAGAGGAAGGGTCGGTTTTGGAGGACGAAGGGGTGGGGGTTGCCGCTGCTGCTGCGGCGGCGGCCATGGCGGGGGGAGGGAGGAGGGAGGGGGTGAAGCCTGCAGAAAATAGGTTTCTGCCGGCTTATTTTTTGCTGGACGAAAGGTTGGAGCGGGCAGGGAGGAAGAAGAAGAAAAAGGATGCGCCCGTGCCTGAGGAGAGTGAGGCGAGGGTAGAGGAGGAGCAGGAGGAAGAGGAGCCAGCGCAGTATGAGCCGGTGGACGGGGACAAGGTGGAGGATGGGCTGGGGGTGATTCACGAGGGGTGGCAGGAGGGGGATGCGGGGAGAGAGGGGTGGGGTGAGGGGCAGGATGGGGAGGATTCGCTAGGAGCAGGTGCTCTGAATGGGGTGGCAGTGAATGGGAGTGAGAGGGAGGGCGGAGGGCAAGGGTTGTTGCAAAAGGGAGTGGTGAATTTACCTGGTGGGGTTGGTGGTGGTGGCAGTGGTGGTGGGACTCCTACAGTGGGATCACCCAAGCCCGGCCGGCTGAATCTCAACCTGCAGATTGCAGATGCTGCTGTGGCGTGCACCAGCAGCCGGCAGTAGTCAAAGGGCTTGCTGTGTGGCCCAGATGCAATGTGCAGGGGCTGTGGTGTGGGGGTGGATTCACCAGCCAGCGGGAACCATGTCGTGGAGATACGTAGATGGCTGATGCTGGACCAGGTTGGAGAAGAAATTGAAGGGCGGATTGCTGCATTTGAGTGTGGATTGACTTTTAGGTTAATATTCTGAAGAGTAAGGGAGATATTGCAGTGTGTTAGATTGTAGAGAGAATGGTGAACAAAAGGAAAATGTAGTGAGGGTTACAAAGTTAGGACACTACCCTCTAAGAACTGACCTAAGAAAGGCTAAAACACATAAACTAGCTAGCCTTGTTAGACACCCCCTAGTCGAGATAGTGGCAGTTCATAACAAAGAAAAGTACACGAGAGCAGTACCGCACAGCTTGTCTGACCTCTGGTGAGCAGGGCTCAAAATTGGTCTAGGGGCACCCTTAGTAATCAGTGTACCTAAAAAAATTACCGTCTCTTAGGGTAAATTATCTGTTACCCTTTGAAAATCAGGGTAAATTAGTAAAATACGATGAGTAAGCAGCGTAAACGAAAGGGTAAATGTTCGCGTTGGGCATTGCCAGCCAAGCAGCCACCGTTCGAAATGAGGGTGTCAGAAGTTGGGGATTGGCTGGCAAGTATGCCACGGCTTGGTTGCAAACATTTCGCAATTCCTGGCAACACCTCCTCGTTCGAGTGGGCGAGAGTAGCGAGGAAATCAGTCGCGAAAAGTCGCCTCCACAACCACACCTCCTTCGGTCATGTCTCGACAATTTTCCAGACGGACCTCACCTGTGTCATAAATCAAGACAGAAGGTCGTGGGATTCTTGCCAGTCCTATGTCTTTGTACCTTCTCTTTCTAGCACTCTCTAAACGGCACTAGAACCATATTGGCTTACATAAACTTGTCGCCCTAATCCTTAGCCTGCTATTTCACTGTCACTATTATTGACTCGGTTTAGTAACTTCCCCCAATCTCGGATATCACGTTCGCTTCACGCCATGGGGGTCTACAGCACTGACGAAGACGCGTCGTTGCTCGCAAACGCAGCAGACGGCTATCCAGCCGCCGTCGCCGCCGCTGCGGGACTCGCAGGAGGAGCGACGTACGTCCCCCTGCCAGGGGGAACAGCCTCAGATACGGCGATTCCAAATCCCTTGGCCTTCGAAAAGCTTCAGCAGGCCCACGGAAAGCAGCAGCAGCAGCAGCAGCTGCCAGTAGTGTCCGTCGTGCCGGTATATCACGTCTCCGCGGCAACGGCAGCACAGGCGGAGGCGTCGGGTCGGCCTCCAGCTGGGCTGACGTCGCGCGGGTCGCTGTGCTTCGTGAGCGGCACGCCGTACGAGGGCGGCGTCATCCCCGCCGACGCCATCTTCTCGCACCCCACGGGCCGCCAGCTCCGCGCCACGTTCTTCGGGGACACTCCCGCGCCGTTCACGTGCCCGTGCTGCGGATTCTTGGGCCTCACTGACGTCCGGTATGCCCGCAGTCATGGTGTTCGCTCGAGTCGAGTTGTATCATCAGGGTTCAATTCCGAATTATGTGTATTCCCAGTTGTATAGTCCAGACCAAGAGTCACTGGCCTCCTTGTGCCCTCACGGGTGGTCAGTCTGACTCATCTTATTTCAACCTAGAAGTTGCCTGCATGTGTTCCGGACTCAAGTTAATTTTCCCTCGCAAGCAGGAAACCATGCTTCGACTTGTCTCATCTGCGTCCTCTCCATTCCCCCTAAAACTCCCTTCCCATACTCCCTGTCCCGTTCTCTTCCCTTCTTGCTCCCCTCGTCTCCTCCGCTGCTGCTGATGCTTTCCCTGCCTGCACGGTACCGCTATTCCCGCAGGTCGTCTCTGAGCGCGGCTGCAGTGGTGGCAGCAGCGGTGACGATCGTTGGCGTGTGCTTCCTAGCGCCCGGCAGCTGCATGTGGCATAAGAGGCACTACTGCCCCTGTTGCCAGAACAAGGTAGGCTGCACGACTATGTTGCTACGCAGCCTGCACCTGCTGCCATACAAGTTTTGGAATTTTACTCTTGCAATTCGGGCTATCAAGTGCAGAGTTGACAATGATAGATCAAGTAGACCAAGTTGTCAACATCGCGTTTGCCTTCGCTGCCTCTGCTCTCCTGCTCCATGGCCCATTATAAATCTTGCATACTACCTGCTGCATCCTCCATGCCCCATGGCCCATGTTCCCCGTCCCATACTTCATCGTCCATGGTTCCTGCTCCATACTGCATGCCCTGTGCTCAATCCCATTGCCTCATAACTCATGCTCGTGTTGATGGGTGTGCATGTGCATGTGTATGTGTATGTGCATGCTGGCAGGTGGGCGAGCACCAGAAGGACGACATGTTTCTTGTCGCAGACCCCGTGCAGTGGCACCGCCCCTCTTTTGCTCTCCCACTCTAGTTCCCTCCGCTCCACCTCCTTTCCGACCACCCTTAGCGCCCATACCGCCATAGAGCCCATGATGTCTGCCTTCTGTCTATTGGACTCATCTCTCCTCCACTCAGCCAATGCCATGCCACCCAGGGGAAATCATAACATACATCAGAGCTTTGAGCTGCCTCGAAACCATACAAATGGGACTGTTTGCTGCCTAGTCTGACTTGTACGGCTTCAGGATTTGTTGAGTGCGTGTGCTGAGTGGCGATGATGAGTTTTTGTGTACTTATTACTGTCCACCCAGATGATGTACAGGTTGGAGGGTCATTGCCCACCAAATTGTTCAGGCTTATGTGTTCTTTGGGGCGTGGTAACAAACTTAGTCCGAACTTCCACCACTGTACCATGCGGTTATCCAAGTGAAGTCCAAACCGTTTTGAAAATCACTCTACCGCTCTGGCCGTCCGAACTTTCTGACCGTAGGAACTGTATGTTCCACGCCCTAAGCAACAAAATGCCCGCGCAAAAATCTCTTGGTTTCAATATGCCATTATAAATGTTTGCGTCGGTCAGGTGACGTGCCCGCGTGGCCTAATGGATAAGGCATCTGACTTCTAATCAGGTGATTGTGGGTTCGAGTCCCACCGTGGGTGAACCACCCTTTTTCGTCTTTGCCCAGATATGTCGTCCCCAGTATAATTTCTTCATCCACTCCTCCATTCTTGCCCCAACCTCGCCCGTCACCAGGATCCCACAATCATTCTTTACTTACTCAAGTTTTACGGCTCTTTATTCTCGTCGCGTTCCTCCATTCGCCTGCTCTTCCCGTCCACTTTTTCTCCTGCTCTTCCCGTCCACTTTTTCTCCTGCTCTCTCTCTCTCGCTCTCCCTCGCTCGTCGCCATGGCGCCAACAGCGGGAGCTGGGACTGCCAAGGTGCGCCTCTTCCCTCCTTACGACACGACGCACCTCTCGCGCCCTTAATCTCCCTCGCGTCATTGTCCCCATTGCGCCACTAATTTCCCGCGCCCCCTCGGCCTCGCCGTCTCCCCTCCCCCGTCGAATTCGTATCTCCGCCTTGCCGAGTCCTGCTCGGCCTAACTCGCATCGCTCGTCGTCGTTGATTGGCTGCGGCTTTCTCCGCGATCTCCCTCCGTCTTTTCCGGTCGGCCAAATCCCACAGCTTCTCAGATATGTCCCTGTTGCATGGCATGGGATGGGATGGGATGGGATGTCACGGCATGGGGTGGCATGGCACGGCATGGCACGACATGGGACGGCTTGGGACGGCATGGGACGGCATGGCATGGCATGGCATATGAGGGACAACAGATGCTGAGCAAGCTAGAGGCGAGTGTGAAGGCAGGGAACTTCTACGAAGCACAGCAGCTCTACAAGAGCGTCAGCGCCAGGTCAGTCAATCCACGTATATCACCATCATCCCTTTCTTTACACCTCGCTTCGCTTCCCTTTCCTTCCCTTCCCTCTTCCCCCCCCCCTCCCCTCTCTTCCCCTCTCCCCATCCCTTGACTCCTCATCCTCTCTCCTCTAGCCTCACCTCCTCGTGTCTCTCCAGCTGCATTCAGCCCACTGCGCGATCCACCTCCACCAAGCCGCCGCACCTTCATCCATAACGTCTCCCACACTTCCCCCCCGTTCACCCGCCGCTTACCCCCTTCACGCCTCTCCTCTCCTTCCTCCCCCCCCCCCTTCACGCCTTCCCCTGCCCTTCCTCCGCTTCCCCCTTAGTCACCTGAGAGGAGGGGGGGTCATGGGCAGAGGACGCGGTGGAGCTGTTGGGGTCTATTTTTTAGGCGCCTCAAAAATAGACTCCTCACGCGAGGGGGGTGGGGGAGGGGTGTATCACGGGCAGAGGCAAGGTGGAGCTGCTGCAGAGCGGCGCGTGCACGCAGCTGCAGCAGCTGCTGCTGAGTCTGCACTGCTATATGCCTCCCTCACTTCCCCTCCCGTTCCCCGTTCCCCCCCTCCCCTACCCCTCTCCTCTCCTCACGCTCCTCCTTCCTCCCCTTTCACCTGTCTTCCCCTGCCCGGCCTCTGCTCCTGCCAGGTACCTGAGCCGGGGGCGGCTCACGGGCAGAGGACGCGGTGGCTTTACTCCAGAGCGGCACGTGCGTGCCCTCCTTTACTCCTGTCATCTCTTCCCCTGCCCTTCCTCTGCTCCCCAGGTACCTGAGTCGGGGGGGCGCGCGGGCAGAGGACGCAGTGGAGCTGCTGCAGCTGCTGCTGCGTCTGCCATGCTGTACCGCCCCCTTCACGGTCTCATCTTTCACCTCTTCCTATTCTGGGCCTCTGCTCCCCCTTTTGCCAGGTACCTGAGTCGGGGGGGCGCACGGGCAGAGGACGCAGTGGAGCTGCTGCAGAGCGGTGCGTGCGTGCAGCTGCAGCAGCGGCAGGTGACATGCGGCACGGAGCTTGCTCTGCTGCTCGTTGACGCGCTCTCCTCCACGCATGCACCGCACTCGCAAGCCACTGTTGGTGAGTGGGAACGGGATGAGTGCACGGCACACAGCACTGAGGGTACGAGGCATGGCCAGTGGGTGCAGCAGCAGCATCAGCAGGTGAAGTCACGTGCGGCACGCAGCTCGCCCTGCTGCTTGTGGACGTGCTCTCCTCCACGCATGCCCCGCACTCGCAAGCCGCTGTTGTTGAGTGGGGATGGGTGCAAGGGACTGTGAGTGCGTGCAGCGGCAGCGGCGGCAGGCAGGCAGGTGACGTGCAGTGTAACACAGAGCTCGCCCTGCTGCTGATTTTTTAGTCGACTCAACAATCACTTGCAACACGCAGCTCTCCCTGCTGCTCGCCGATGCCACTGTGACGTGCGTGCATCTGACGACGGCATGACGCGCTTGCTCCCTCGCATGCGCATGCGCCGCATTCTCAAGTCACCGGGGTTGAGTGCGTGCTGCTTCCATTCTCAAGTAAGCAGACGATCGCGCTTTCTCTCACTTTCCTCTTTCTTTCTTCCGCCCTCCCTCACCCCCTCCCTCATTCATACCTTTCGTTCCGTCTACTTCTTGCTTGTCCCCTCCCCTGTCGCCATCCCAACAGACCGACTGCTCGCCATCAACGATGCCTTCAAGCCTCTGCTCTCACACCAACCCGCCTCGCCCCCTGCTGCTGCTGCCAATGCTGCTGCTGCTGCTGCGGCTGGTGTTGAGTCTGCGAGTGAGAGCCGGGAGCAATCAGCAGCAGCATCAGAGGCAGCAGCGTCGTCTGAGGTGTCTTCCGCGTTTGACGGCTGCTTGTCCTTCCTCAAAGCTGCCATTCGGTCTGTACCACCGCCCTCTCTTACACTCACTCACACGTTCACTCTCGCTCACGCACTCACTCTCCCTCTCCCGTGCATGCTCCGCCCACTTACCCAGCTCATTTTTCCGCCTCCCTTTTCCTCCCTCTCCTTCTTCCAGTCATTCTCATCCCCACCCCATTCCCATCCCCGTTCTTATCACCATCCTTTCCACCACTCCCTTCTGCTCCCGCCCTTCCCCCTCAACCCCTCAGCTGGTCCCTGCGGTCGGAGGGGGCGCCAAGGCACGGTGCACCAGAGCTGCATGACGCGCTGGCTGTGCTGCTGTGGACGCATGGCGCCACTCAGGTATGGCGCCACGCAGAACTTTTTGGAACTAGTTGCAAATACAATGGCGCCACACAGGGCCAGGCAGGTATGGGGCTGCCAGGGCAAGGACAGCAGCACAGACAGTACAGACACACATTGGGGACACACGTGCCTTGCTCACACACACAGTCCTATGCTCACCCTTCCTTCTCCCCACCACCCCTCCCCCTTCTCCCTCTCTCCCTCTTTTCCCTCCCTCCGTCCCCCCCTGCCTCCCTGCTTCTCCGCCCCACTCTCTCTACAGGACTTAGAGGTAGCGAGCCGGCACTTTGTGCTGGGGCGAGACACCAAGGCATTCTGCTCCGTGCTGTGCCAAGTCATGGAGCAGGTGGGATGATGCCTTGCACTGCTTCCGCTTCTCTCCTTTTCCCCTCCCCCCTTTCTCCCTCTATATCCCTCTCTCACACACGCGTACAGACACATTCTCAGTCCACACCCCCCTCCCCCCATCGCTCTTGTCGTGTGAGGCATGATTCTTTCTTTTCTGCTCCCATCTTTTCTTAACGAGCTTCCTCTCTCTTCCTCTCTCTTGCCTCACCCTCCTCATCTCCGTCTCTTCCATTCGCCTCCTTCTCTCCTCACCCCCATTCCTTTCCCATACCTCTCCCACACCTCTCGCCTCCAGGCCTTCCCAGACGAGGTCGACCTGGTGCTCGCCAGAGCAGTGCTGCAGTACGTGCACCCCTCCCCATGCAACCATCCACCCCTCCTATGCAACCATGCATCCCTCCTATGCAACCATGCATCCCTCCTATGCAACCATGCATCCCTCCTATGCAACCATGCACCCCCCTATGCAACCATGCACCCCCCCTATGCAACCATGCATCCCCCCTATGCAACCATGCACCCCCCCTATGCAACCATGCATTCCCCTCTATGCAACCAACCACCGCTATGCAACAATGCTCCCCCGCTATGCAACAATGCTCCCCCCTATGCAACAATGCTCCCCCGCTATGCAACAATGCTCCCCCGCTATGCAACAATGCTCCCCCCTATGCAACAATGCTCCCCCGCTATGCAACAATGCTCCCCCCTATGCAACAATGCTCCCCCGCTATGCAACAATGCTCCCCCGCTATGCAACAATGCTCCCCCCTATGCAACAATGCTCCCCCGCTATGCAACAATGCTCCCCCGCTATGCAACAATGCTCCCCCCTATGCAACAATGCTCCCCCGCTATGCAACAATGCTCCCCCGCTATGCAACAATGCTCCCCCGCTATGCAACAATGCTCCCCCCTATGCAACAATGCTCCCCCGCTATGCAACAATGCTCCCCCCTATGCAACAATGCTCCCCCGCTATGCAACAATGCTCCCCCCTATGCAACAATGCTCCCCCGCTATGCAACAATGCTCCCCCTCTATGCAACCAACCCCCCCTTGGATGCACCCATACACCCCCCATGCAACTAACCCCCCCTAGGGTGCAACCATGCCCCTTCCCCATGCAACCAACCCCCTCCACGATGCAATCTAGCACTCCTAGTTGCAACAAAGGCCCCCTAGTTGCATTGCAACCCTTCCATCAGTTCCATCTCACCCGTCTCCCACCCCTCTCCCACCCCTCTTCCACCCCTCTCCCACCCGTTCGTCGCTGCTATTCCATTCGATGCCCTTGTCCGTTACGTGCGCAATTTTGTGCGCACATGTTTTGCATTTGGTGTGCCTGGGTGCATGCGCCACATGTCTGTGGCATGGCATGGCACCGCATGGCACGGCACGGCATGGCACGGCATGGCACGGCATGGCACGGCATGGCACGGCATGGCACGGCATGGCACGGCATGGCACGGCATGGCACGGCATGGCATGGCATGGCACGGCACGGCATGGGTGGCAGGTACCTAGCGGTGGGCAACATGAGGGGGGCCAACGGGCTGATGGACGACATCACAGGGGGAGGAGCACAGAGCAGTGCACCGCCTCTGCCCGACTCCCCTCTCATGCACTTCCTCCGCTTCCTCCTACTCACGTGCGTGCCGTGCACCCTCATTCCCTCTCTGCTTTTCCCTTGCCGCTGCCCTTGCTCTACTCCTTTCTCGCCTCCCCTTACACCTTGTCCTCCCCCCCAATACCTTCGCTCTGCCGTCTTTCCTTTCCCGTCAGTTCTGTCAAGATGACTTTTGAGTAAGGTGTTTTTTTAGAATTCTCAAAAAGCATCTGTCCCAATACTCCAAAGTCATCTCCTTCCGCCGTCTTTCCATTCCCTTCAACTCTTTCAAGATCCAACCCTGTCACCCTTTCGCCCTCCCCCACCTCCTCCTCGTCCTCCTCCCCCTTCCCACCTACCCACGCTCAACCGCAACCCTGTGATGGGCTGTGCAGGTTGGAGCGTGACGCGCTGCCTCTGTTCCTGCTGCTGCGCAAGGTGTATGCCCCCAGCATCCGCCGTGACCCCCAATTCCACTCTGTACGTACCCCCCCCCCTGCTGCTGCACTCCAGGTCTTCCGTCTCTCGCCTCTCTTTCTCTCTCGCCTCTCTTTCTCCTCCTCCACCCTTCCCGCTCACACGCCACGCCTCTGACTTTTTGGTCGATTCAAATGTCACCCCTCACACGGGGCTCCCTCTGCAACCCCTTGTCTTCTGAATCGAATCCTCTAAAGGGCTCTGTCTCCCGTCCTTGGTCCTGGAGTTTTCCTGGCCCTCCAGGCATTGCAGCTGGCGTTCCATTCATCCCCATCCCTGCCCCCCCCACCCCCCCCCACCCCCCCCCGGTGCAGTATCTGGACAAGGTAGCGCATCGCGGCGCGGCCCTCAGAGGGGTCTGTGAGGGGACTTCATGGGCGGCCTGCATTTGAGGCACCTCAGTAGCTGCTGTTTTTCGTGCCCCACTCCTCCCCCCCCACCCCCCCCCTCTTCTCTGCAGTATCTGGACGAGATAGCTCATCGCTACTACAAGGTGGCGCGGCCCTCAGGGGGAGGGGACTTTATGGGCGGCCTGCTGCAGGTGAAGTGATTTCTCAAGGGGGCTGGGGGCAAGGGTGGTGGGTGAGAGGGGAAGCACTCGGGAAGGGAGAATGGGCGGGCGAGGCGAGGGGAGGTGAGAAGTAGTGATATCTGGTCAGCTTTCTGTAGGTGAACTGTGGGTGGTTGTGGGGGAGAGGAAGAGTTTGGGCTGACGCATTGGAGGGTTTGGTTGGACACATGAAAGGGGGACAGGGGGGAAAGGCTCCTCTCACTTTCGCTTCTTCCTAGGGTCAATTGACCTGTCTTGATCATTCGTTGCTGCTCCTGCTCCTGCACCTGCACCCTTTTTGTTCATATCCCTCCATCCTGACTGTGATGTGCTATCTGATGTGTTCTGGTGTGCTGCCTGGCTCTTGCTGCAGATGCTCATGGGTTGATCGTGCTGCACACAAGGACAGCACGGATTGGCAGCACATACCAACAGCACGAACGCCACAAACTTACAGCACACAACACGATGCAGTCAGCACAGCATAAGACGCATACACAGCACGCAGCTGGTTTTCCACTCCACAGGAAAATGACGTTTACAAAAGCATAAAGCTGACGCTAGCAAATGGGTATGCCATAATGCTTGTTGCGACCGATAGGGTTGCTTGTATTGTGACACGACTTTCAGAGTGTGCAGTGCGGTTGTCATAGCATTTCATATCTCGATGATACAGCACACTCATAGTTGAAGTACATGGATGTTCTACAGGACGAAGCTAAAAAGGCAGATGCCGACTAGGAAACTGGGAGAGGCAGGGCTCAAAATTGGTTTAGGGGGACCCTTGGTAATCAGGGTACCTCAAAAAAATTGCCCTGCCTCCTAGGGTGGAAATTTCGGCACCCTTTGAAAATCAGGGTAAATTTGAAAAAAAAAACCGAGTACACTGTTTGGCCAGGGAAAAAAATTGAACACCCTTTCATGTGCTTACCGTACAACAGTCGATCATACTTTCGAGTGCTTTCAGATCTAGAATGCATACAAGTGTTAAAATTATATAAGTTATAATTTAATATAGGCTTGGTAGGTTGTTACTGAACCTTTCTGTAGGGGGTACAAACCCCTCCTTGTACTCCCCTCTCTTCCTAATCCAACCACCTTTCTTCTCGACATTCTCTCACCTCCTAGATCCGTTTTTCCTCACGCCATTCCATGGCGGTCTTCTTCCTAGTATCCTAGCCAACCTAGCCTCCTAAGTTTAAGAACCTTTAGTCCTAAGTTTCTAAGATGGTATCAGAGCAGGAGATCCTCCCTGTTGGATCGCCTCCTCACGCTTCCGCAATTTACTCCTCACTCTCATTAGCTCGAGCGGCCATGGCGGCCGCGTTTTGCTGCAGTGGCGACGTCGCGCTGCCACTGGCCGCGTCGTGCCGCGACCGGCTCGACGCGCTGCCGTGGCGTCGGGCCGTCGTTCTGCAGTCGCAGCGTCGACGTCCCGCTGCGGCATCGACGCTGCCTCTGCCGTCGCGACGTCGACGTCCTGCTGCAGCGTCGACGGCGCCGTCGGGCCGCAGCCGGTTGCGTCGACGCTTTGCCGTGGCAGCGTCACCTTGCTGCCGTTGCAGCGTCGGCGTGCCGCCACAGCGTCGACGCCGCGCCCTGGCGGCGTCGTCATGCTGCCGCGGCAGCGTGGATGGGCGGAAGCGGGCAGCACGCCGTCGTAACCGCCACCTGCCCGCCCTCCTGCCAGTAAGCGCCGCGCCACTTATGGCGCGTCGCTGAAGACTCGCCTCGCCCCGCCCCCTCCCCTCCCCCCCCCACCTGCACCTGCTTCCCCTGCATCCCCCCCTTTCTTGCTGCAGCCGATGACTGCCATGTGAGGGACCTCTCCACCGCCGAGGAGACAGGACATGCCGCCGAGAGGGCGGGGGCCGCCGCACCAGCCTCTGTCGTTCGAGCCGCCGGCGCCGCCGCTGTTGCCGCAGGCCTGGAGCCGCCGCACACCGCCGCCGTCGTCACTGTTGCTGCTGCCGCCATTGCCGTCTCAAGGGGCCGTGAGACCTACCCTCTTCCGGAGTCGTTGCGGCTCCTGCTGGGAATGGGGGTGCTGGGCTAGGGGGTGTGGGTGTGGGTGTGGGTGTGGGGGTGTGCGTGGGCTTGACACTACCAAGCCTAGGGGGTGTGTTAAAATTATATAAGTTATAATTTAATATAGGCTTGGTAGGTTGTTACTGAACCTTTCTGTAGGGGGTACAAACCCCTCCTTGTACTCCCCTCTCTTCCTAATCCAACCACCTTTCTTCTCGACATTCTCTCACCTCCTAGATCCGTTTTTCCTCACGCCATTCCATGGCGGTCTTCTTCCTAGTATCCTAGCCAACCTAGCCTCCTAAGTTTAAGAACCTTTAGTCCTAAGTTTCTAAGAACAAGCACGTTGTCTCTAACATTATCAATGCATAGCTAGATAACCTACTATTGCTACTACTACTACTACTACTACTACTACTACTACTACTACTACTACTACTATACTACTACTACTACTACTACTATACTACTACTACTACTACTACTACTACTACTACTACTACTACTACTACTACTACTACTACTACTACTACTACTACTACTACTACTACTACTACTATACTACTACTACTACTACTACTACTACTACTACTACTACTACTACTACTACTACTACTACTTACTACTACTACTACTACTACTACTACTACTACTACTACTACTACTACTACTACTACTACTAACTACTACTACTATACTTACTACTACTACTACTACTACTACTACTACTACTACTTACTACTACTACTACTACTACTACTACTACTACTACTACTACTACTATACTATTACTACTACTACTACTACTTACTACTACTACTACTACTACTACTACTACTACTACTATACTACTACTACTACTACTACTACTACTATAACTACTACTACTACTACTACTACTACTACTACTACTACTACTTACTACTACTACTTACTACTACTACTACTACTACTACTACTACTACTACTACTACTACTACTACTACTTACTACTACTACTACTACTACTACTACTACTACTACTACTACTACTACTACTACTACTACTACTACTACTACTACTACTACTTACTACTACTACTACTACTACTACTACTACTACTACTACTACTACTACTATACTACTACTACTACTACTAACTACTACTACTACTACTACTAACTACTACTACTAACTACTAACATACTATACTACTACTACTACTACTACTACTACTACTACTACTACTACTACTAATACTACTACTACTACTAACTACTACTACTACTAACTACTACTATAACTACTACTACTACTACTACTAAAAAAAAAAAAAAAAAAAAAAAATAATACTACTACTACTACTAACTACTACTAACTACTACTACTACTAACTACTACTACTACTACTACTACTACTAACTACTACTACTACTACTACTACTGCATGTTATTGATTCTGACCCTAATTCATAGGAATGCGCTCTGAGTCTCACGGCAGTCACTAATACTCCCGCTACTAATAGCTCACTCTGCAGACCCACTATTCCCCCCGCCGACTGAGCTGGGAGCAGCAGAGGGTGTTGCGTTCTCTGGCTCAGCAAACAGCGCCGAACTGGGGATGGCGCCGGTGAAGTCTCGGATAGTGCGGCGGGGCTTTTCTCCACGAAAGATGGCCACCACGTCGAACCAGTCCACGTCATAGTCCAGCAGGGAGCACCGCATGAGATGGCCGAGGGTGATGTCGCCCATGCTACCCCGCGCCCATGTCTTTATCAGGTTCTGCTTGGAGAAACCGCGCTCGCAGTCGACAGTGCTCAGCGGGAGAACGGCGACAGCTTGCCACATGAGCATGATGTTGGGGTAGCTGAGCTGCCAGTTGCTGTCACGCAGCGTGTTGCTCAGCGCCTGGAAGAAGTCCTCATGATGATGCTGGGAGTGCATGGTGGATGTGAACATCCATAGCTCCGTGACTGCATTGTTGTACTTGAATCCTGCAACGGGGGTTCGGGGTGGTGAGGGAGGAATGGTTCAGTGTTGAGACTTGAGAGGCAGCGATTCTGTTCGCATTGCATAGCATACCATGACTCCATGGTTGAGAAGTAGGCGCTCTAGATTACCTGGTAGCTTGTGCCGAAACAGGCTGTCCAGCTGCTTCAGCCACTTCTTGAAGGCCGCCACGCGTAGGATGTCGTCATCCAGGTAGGTCTTGTCCAGGAACAACTTAGTCCCCTCCAGGTTACGCAGATCGTTTAGGCGGCGGTCGAGGAACATGTTGACGGAGCGAGCATACTTGACGCAGAGCTCGAAGCAGGCTGTCACGTCGCCGTCAGAATCTTGGCCCGGCAGCGGTCGCTCGTGGAGTTCGAAGGAGAACGACTGCGGGTTTCCGTCACCGTCGACCCCCCCTGCCATCATCACCCGCTTGTCCTTAGCTGCATGCGCCGCGATGAACTCCGGAAGATGGAGCTTCTCCCCATGGCCGAAGCCGTGCCCAGGCCCAGAGCTAAGATAGCGCGCCGAGATCCGCATCTTGGTTTGCTCAACCACATGTGCCACGAGTGTCACGTCAACCTGTATGGGCGGGCACAACACACGCACCACGCATCAGTGCTATGCTTTGCGCCGGAAACCACATGGACCGGTCGGCAAACATGGGGGGTGAGAGTCAGACACGCGTAGCGATATATTAAACAGATCAGACACGGTTATGCATACCTGGCGCTGCTGAAACCGTTGGTTGAGGATGTTCAGCTCCGTCAGAATGTCGGCGAGGAAGCGCAGGAGAAAATGAAACTTAAACGAAGTAACGACTTCATACAAGTCACTCCCATGCTCGCGTAGCAGCAAGATGGCGGCTGGGAGCACGTCCACAAGGCGGTTCACCGCCTCGCCCCTGGAGAGCCAGCGGATGACATGGATTCCCTGGTGTTCCAGGGTCGTCTGACAGAAGATCAGCTGCAGCGCCATGAAGCGGGTGTAGCGCACGTGACTGCGTCCAAGGATGTCGGCCAGTGTCCGTATGATAAGGTCAATTATGCTTAGCTCGGGCACGGCTGCAGCCGCGTCCTTAGCCGCCAGCGCCTCCCTGAAGGCGGGGTGGGAGGATAGGGGAAGAGTAGTAGAAAGGCTGATGTTACTTCCAGGAATATAAGGCACGACCATGCATTTCATCCGAAAGTTTATACGTCCGTCGAACCGCAACAAACCGATGGGCAATGCAGTGAATCGAGACGAGGTGCTCGATTTGTGTGCGCAGACGGGTCACTACTCCGCTCCGCTCGCCGGTCATTACGGAAGCTCCATCAGTCGCGATGCCCACGATCTTTTGCAGGTCCAGTCCAATTCCCTAGATGTAGTGCAAGAGGGAGGAAGTCAGAGATGCCGCGTCAGTCCGCTCGACACTCAGAAGTGTGACAAACTCGGTCGCCACGGTGTTGCCCTTGAAAAACGTCGCGTAGAGCACGAGATGTTTCCCGTGGATGCGATCCGTGCTCTCGTCGATGCTGATGCCGACGTAGGGAGAGGCGTGAAGGTGTTTCAGCTGTTCCTCCTGCAGATACTCCGACATGGACTGTATGCTCTGCTTGAAACCGTAACTGCATGACACGGAAACAAGGAGAGACGGACGGCAGGGCATTTGTACCATACAAGAAGGCCACAATTTGTGCACGTGGGGAGGGAGGACGAGCAGTGAG